AAGGTTCTTGTTGGGTCTCCCAGCACCACATTCTCTTCAGAACGCTGAGCGGTGATTGTGACAGCAGTACAAGGGTCACTGCTGCTCTCTGTTGTCTGGTGATTCACATGAAGTTGATACTGTGAAGAAATTGGAAGTCAAAACATCACAGTATTTGATAATTGATAGTCATCATCATCATAGGCCTTTTCCCTGATGATAGCTGTGGTATCAAGCAGTTCTTGAAAACAGACAAAATATACCAACCCAACCAAAGCTACTGAACCTAATTTACAACAATTTAGTCAAGTGTTGGTTGATTAAATTTTCACAGATCTTTAAAAGTGCAGAGCTAAGAACCTCAAAGGTAAAAATATACATCACACAGCAGAACTCCTCACCGTCAAAACCCTCAAGGTATAATATATATCGTACAGCAAAATTACTCACTGTCAAGACCCTCAAAGGTAAAAATATACTGTATCACACAGCAAAACTACTCTCCATCAACCTTGGTCAACCACATACTAAGGTAATCTTTCATATCACTATGAATTTCCTTGATTTGTTCAATAGACATTTTTATCATTTCATACACCTCAAATTATTCTAAATTGCTAGGTTGAAGTTTGGCTGCAACGTATCAAGACATGGCTTCGATAAATAGTATAAACTGAATGCCTGCTAATGTTCTAAGCAAGTCACCAACGTGACAGTCATCCCTAGATTTTCATGATTAATGATATAAAATTAATTATTTTCTTTAGTTTTTAATGCTTGAGGTCAACCCTATGATAATTTCAGTAATTAATAATTTGGTGATAACACTGATAAGAGATATTGCTGATTATACATTACTGGAAAGTAACTATAATACTTTATCATACTTATATATGGATGAATACAAGTGTATGTACCTGTTTTGAATAAACTGATATGTCAGGTCTTGTCTTGCTTTCTTGCATCCCCCCTGGAAAAATCCTGCAGCCGACCATGGCAGCACCTGTCCTTTCTTGTATTGGTGAAGGAAGGCTACAGAAACTTGATATCCTGCAAAACGAAGCGATGAGAATAATTTTAGGAAGTCAAAAAAATTTAATGATTGCGATAATAAAAATGGAGCTAGGGTTACAGAATATTTCACACAGGGTCAATGATATTAATACAGTTGCAACAATTTGATTAATGAGAGAGAATAGTGGGGGCAAACTTCTACAAGAAATAAATGTTGGCTTAAAAAATGAAAGGACCTTCTGGAGGCTAGGCAAGATAGGAGAGGATACATGAAAGGATTAATTAACAATTAAAAAACATAATCTGACAAACTAGTGTACAGCTGTTTGAAAAAATTGTAAGGATCCACCCTGGGAGTAGTAATTTACATAATATAAACACATTGCATGTATATTGTGACGGTTCAGTTGTGCCAAGTGGCAGGGTATAGGATCCTTATAAGGCAGTACACAGAACAAGGTACTAATGACACCAAAACTGGACTTTGATTGATAAATTTTATATCATCACAAGCTGAGTTACAGTATATGCTGTGTTAGCAACATGGGAAAATGTTGTAAAGAGGAGTAAAGATGCTTATTTTTTGTAGATGTTCCAGCAGCTGACTTGTGTGTAGGCCATTAAGAAACAACTTAAATTTTTTTTCTTTTTTTTTTAAAGAACTTTCTATCCAGACCCTCTGGCATATCAAACAGAAAGTACTTATTTTAATATCTGGTACTAATGAAAGCAATTTTCTTAAAGTGGCATTGGTGTAATTGTGCGTTTTTTGTGGACCTGAGAGTATGCTCGGACTGAAGAGACTGCATTAATCAAGACCAAATGTGAAAAGGACCTGGGTGTGCATGTCGACAATGGACTTAAGCTCTCGGGCCATTGTGAAAAGAAGGTGAAACAGGCAATGAAACTAGTAGGTCTTATAAGAGAGTCATTTAGATATCTGGATGGCCCATCGCTTGTCATGATCATCAAGAGTGAGGTGCTTCCCCGTCTAGAGGCATGCTAAAGACTGTCAATCGATCGAAAATGTCCAAAGGAGAGCCACCAGACCGGTGCCTGCACTATGGAAACTCAGTTACCCTGAGAGATTAGGATGCCTGCAACTACCTAGCTTATACTACAGACAGGCAAGGGGCGACCTTCTCAGTCAAATGTACATACCTGGAGCTGGCAAACATCCACCCCACAAGGGGTCACAGCTCAAGGTTGAAGAAGCCAGAAAACTGAGGGCAAACTTTTTGGGAGTGAGAATTGTGAACTCTTGGAACAATCTGCCAGAGTGTTGTGGCGGCACCGAGTTTGAGCTCATTCAAGGCCAGACTTAACCAACACTGGAGCAGGTTCCGATATGTTCAGGAGCCAGTGCATGCCCAGTACTAGCCAACAGTGAGTAACAGAGACGTGACCAACCGTCCAAGCAGCTAACGAGCCAATCAGTGGCGAAGAGGATAACCTCCACTTTTGTGTTCAGTATCATATAAATATTATCTCCAGAAATTTGGTTCAATTCCAAAAATTATTTGTGGTATAAACCTTCACTCAGCTCACTATTAATTAAAATTTGTTTTATCCCAATTTTCCCAATTGGTATAGGATATTTTTCTGGTGTATTTTGGTTAGGTTAGGTTAGGGTAAGGTAGTAGGTACATGGTAATAGGTTAGCCTATTTTGGCATGATAAATAATTTTTCTGGCAAATTTTTTGTTTTTTAGTCGATTCTGAACGTATTTTCTTGCGGGAATGCGACTTTTTTTAATTTTCCAATTTTAATGAGGAATCAAACCCCCAAAAAGGCTCATTTCCACAAAAAACATTCAGAATCTACTAAAAAACACCAAAATTCAATAGAATAATTATTTATCATGCCAAAATAGACTAACCTACTACCCAAACCAAACCTAACCTGACACAAACTGTGCATTTGCCCAGGAAATGCCATAGAAGAAAATAGATTCCTTATTAAAAAAATACAGTAAAGGTGTAGAAAAGGGTGACCACCAGAAGTTGTTGCTGATTTTCTTGATTAGTGCTATACTTATAGTTTTGATGATTTTAAGTATATTAAAAGAAATGACAACTTTCTATTACAGGGTATAACTAAATATTTTTTTGAAATTTTTAATTTATTCTATACCGCTTCACAATTCTCCTCCCGGCGCCAATTTTGTTGTTCATCTCGCTTCAAGAGACGTTTCCTAAATGATAGTTAACACTTCCACGGCTTCCTCCTCGCCATTGCTGATGTATATTAACCTCAATATCAAGGTAAGTTGTTTAACACATAAATTAACACAATAAAGCATAGAACCTGACCTAACAAACCCATAGGTTAGGTATGTTAGGTCAGGTTCTATTAGGTTCCATGCATTGTCGTTTCCATTTTGTTTAATATCATATTAGTGTAGAATAATTTTCAACCAATTCCTTCTGGTGGTCACCCTTTTCTACACCTTTACCAAAAAATAATACTATTGATAATGGTAAAAAATCTGGGTAATTATATAGGACTAAACCGTGAGCGAAATTTATTAAAAACAATTATAAAAACGCCGGATTTTCATTGTTATATTATAGTGGACACTTGTAGTTTGTGGAAATGTTAAAAATTTGATATCTTTAAAATAAACGCTACTTAACATTTGTGGGTATGAAGAACAGACCTAACCTAACCTAACCTAACCTAATCTAACCTTACCTTACCTTACCTTACCTAACTTCCCCGGTATATTAAACAGAAAGAACATACTATGATATGGTGAAATTTGAGGCATTTTCTGGACGTGAGATGATATAGGCGCTGTGCACCCCTGGCGGGTTAGTCCTATATATTAACCTAAATCTGAAATACCTATTGGGATAAAAGCGAATATTAACCCTATTAATTTTGGTCAATTCACCAAATCGTCGACGGCAACGAATTATTTCTTACTACAAACACCAATATAAACTACACTAATACCTAGGCAGCATAATATATAAAATGGCGGAGTTTATCTTTGCAATTACCTTTTCATAAAACATCTTCACCTAAATTTCCAATTGATGATGGAATAAAACTCTCAGTAACTACTTGATGTGTTGACAAACTACCATGGAGGTGATTAACCAACTCTCTAACATCACATGTAATTTAATTATGAAAATAAAAGTACCAACAATTTACTCACCACAGAGGACAGTAGCGACATAAGCTTGTGTTTAAATAACTTAATATAAAAATACTAAAAATGTAACCACCACATAACAGCCAGTCACGACACGTCCTTCCTTCATGGCTCACTCAGGCAAATGGCTTGATAGTGACGTCACAATGGTGTGTTAAAAGACTATATTAGAAAGACAGGAAAGCGTCGACCTTTACCAATAAAAAAAAGTGAGCCATCTGTTCATTCCAAGCCCAACTATATTCTATGTGGCTAAAGCGGTTTTTGCCTGCTTTCCCGTCCTTCTTATATTGTCTTTGGCTATAGCTGCACAGTATCGGGGCCTCATTGCAGCTGCTAAAAATAAGAAATAAAAAAAACAATATAAAACAGTGTGAATTCACCGGAATGTTCGGCCTGCTCTCTTTATGGTAATTATTTTGTTAACTTTCCGGCTACTTGGGGAGTGAACGGTCTCATAGTGTTAGACTATAGTTCACCTCTGGTACTGAAGTGCTTGACATACAATACTTCCTAATGTAATTTATGTATGGCATCTAATATTATTTACTTGTCTTTTTTTTATTTAAAATTTCTGTCATTTCGCTACATCAGTTTACTGTTGTGACCCCCTATTAAATATTTCAGTAAATCCAACACAGTTTGTAAATATTGGCAATCATAGTACCATTAAGGTAATAGTGAAGAATACAAAACTGTGTATAAAGTAAGTTCTGACAAATTTTCTTAGATAAATTTTGTAGAATTGATTCAAGAATTTCAATAAAACTTATCTTTTCGTCACTTTAGATTCAGCAGCGAACTCCGGAAATGTGTTGAACTACAACCTCTAACAGCCTCAGTAGACGGTGCTTGACGAGGTCGAGTGTGACGAGGTCGAGTGGGATGTTTCTTTGGTTTTCAAGAGTTCTCGATGATGTCACCTGTTTTATACACGGATAAAGTACAGCTACTCAACACCCTTGAGAGTGTTCCACTTCTAGGATACAGCACCCAGAGAGACGTAAGATAGACAGTACAATATACAGCAACTTCAGAGTAACAAATTTTGTTGTTATAAAGGACGATTTATAGTAAACGAACCTGTAGAGTCATCAGCCTGTCATGGACTTTGTTAATGATAGCAAAGACTACGGTCCACATTTTTCATGTGTTATTTAAAGTGGAGTTATTAATTGAAGTTTGCATGTCCGGGAGATTGACTTACCTTCATACAACCTGCAGTCTGTTGGGTTACAGTACATCATGTCTGCAACAGAGGATAATGTTTCATTCGGGCTAATATTGATGACTACACTGCCGACTCATTATTTGTTTTGATATTTATATTATTAAGATATTTTCATCATCGAGTTCTGATATGATACATTTTGGGGGGGTTATAGTTAGGATAATTTAGACTCGGTTAGACTAGGTTAAGTTGAACTTTTAAATAAACACTTTTTTAAGACATTTGCCATACCTGTGATAGTGTCCACTATGAAACACAGTGAAATTATGGCTTTTTTAAATTCGTTTTTTCTGAAAGATCAGCAGTGGTGTAGTCGTCAATAATTAACCTTTTCTACTATGATGTATCCCTAGCAAATGACCTATAATTAATATGGTTAGGAGGTTAGGTTAGAGAAACGACAGAAGAAAAGTGCCTTAGAATTGTCTAAACTATTGATTGCAACCATAAAATTCATTGGGTGGTAACAAGTGAAATTTTACCCAGATGACAAATGATACAAATTTAGTGGAGAACAAGGAAAGAAATGGAAATTCACGAAAATAAAAAAATTGAATTTTCATTGAGGGGTTGCAGGTAGCCAGTTTTTCTGCAGGATTGATAAGTTCAAGGTGTTGAAAAAAGTTATCAGTGAAACCGCTGCAACCCCACACATGTGTAGTGATGCAGACCGTAAACAACGCCCATTATGGAGACCATGATGCTAAAGTGTGAATGATGGCAGACGAACCATGCATATTTAATGGGAACAATAAGCATAAGAATGGAGGAAACTGCAGTCGGCATATTGGCCCATACTGGGCAGTCTCGCTTGCGCCCAACACCTATCGTTCATATATCCATCCAACTTAGTATTTGAAGCCACCAAGTGTGTATGAGTTAATGATGATGTTTGATAACTTGTTCCACTCATCCATTACCCTATTTCCAAACCAATGTTTACCTATCTCGCTCCTATATCTAACTGTCTAATTTAAAGCCATAGCTACGAGATTGTTCCTGGTTGGTTAATTTAAGTTGCTTTGTTATATCACCTTTGTTTAACCCTAACCTCCATTTATACACTTCGCCCCTCACTCTACATCTCTCAAGGAAGTGCAAATTAAGATGCTTTAATCTCTCCCTATACTCAAGGTTCCTGGGATTAGTCTTGTCATCCTCCTCTGTATGCTTTCTAGGGATATGATATCCATTCTGTAGTACGGTGGCCAAAGCTGAACAGCATCATCCAATTGGGTTCTCACAAGCAAGATATAGTTTTAGGATAACCTCGCTAGTCTTGTAACTAACACTCCTTTGTATAAACCCAAGTACTTTGTTATTTTTGTTGCCAACAAATACACACGTTTGATAATGTATGAGAACACCGTTACCACCAGAAAGAGTTGTTCGATTTTGTTCATTTTTTTCCACACATGTTCTTATCATTGTCGTAAGTACAGTACAGTATTTTAAAAGAGGCGACATTTACTAGAACCTAATATAACCTGACAACCATAAAAAAATACCAAACCTTACCTAACTTCCTAGCCATGGGTCTCTGCCTCCTGGACCCCCTACCATATTAAACAGAAGTACTTATTTTGGTATCTGGTAGCAATGAAACTAACTTTGTTGAAGCATCATAGTGTAATTTTACTTTTTAGTGGACGTAAGAGCACATGCGGACCGGGCGGGTCGTTTGTAAACAAACATGCGACACACAGTGACTTGGCAGATTTTTTGGAGGTGCATTTATGGAAAATAATTAATTTCTTCAAGTATAAAATATGTTGAGCCATCATTTTACTGTCATATGATCAGTTTTTCACTGCGTTTTACCCCGCAATATCCCTCATCCTTCAAAACCTGCCCACTACAGGCAATTTGTGGTCATAGATTGAGAAAAGGTAAAAAAAAAAATACTTATAATTCAAAGAAAAAGTTGTTGCCTCTTTTAAAATACTTACTGTAATGATAAGAACATCTGTGGAAAAAACTGACTGAAATCGAACAGCTGTTTCTGGTAGTAGTGGTGTTCTCATAAATTACCATATGTTTAAATGTTGTTACAGTAAATTAAATCTGATCCAGAAATACTTGTGAATGATATGTATCCATACTGAAATTTTGGTGGAATGTAATTGGTGATTTACTTCCTAGCGTGGAATTGTGAGTTCAGTATCACATACTTGGGAAAAGGGCGTTACTGTGCTGTCTTGATTTACATATAAAACGATAAAAAATCTGAAGAGGTTAAGAAAAAAAGAGTAATAGGCATGAACCCCAACCTTCTCAGATTTCTGGGTGTGCCCCTGGTTTAAATAAGTTCAGTTTTAATATATTTATCATAATGCTACAGTACAGTACTCATACACTCTAACATGAGACTCTTCACTCCCAGCCACCCCCTCCCTCACTTAAAATCATGGTGGAGTCCCCGAGTTGTTACCTCAACTGAAGTACAGCTTATTAGCTAAATCTTCCTAACTCTTCCCCCCCCCCTCCAAGTATGGGATTGTGTAAATAAATATTTGTATTTTACTGTATTGTCTCCTTCAGGTGATGCCTAATAAAACTGTTTCACTATACAGGTATTACCCCCACAAGTGCATCTACACTCGTGTATCTGTTGATGTAGTAAAGCATATTGTATTGCTTGCTGCACTTTTGCCTCTCTGTAATATGCTAAGTTGTACTCGCAGAAGAATATCGTGAAGGCGAGACGCAGCTTTGCTCGGGCCATGAAATGGAACGTGAGGCTCATAGACACATCTCACTCTGACAAGTTAGAACAAATGATAGGAATTAAGCTAAAATATTTCTGGACCAAAGGCATGAGCAGGGATGATTTCTTCATCATTACCAAGGTAAAGATAGAGAGAGAGAGAGAGAGAGAAATGATTTCATTAAACTAGGGAGAGAGAGGGACTACACAGGGTCCCATGTATGTTTGATGATAGCTGCTAATTTATTGGAAATCCTCATAATGGCAAGAGTTCTTGATGTTATGAGAGAAAGTTCTCACTATTATGAGAGGAAGTTCTCACTGTATGAGAGGAATTTCTCACTAATGAAAGGAAGTTCTCACTGTTGTAGGAGAAACTTCTTGCTGTTATGAGAGAAAATTTTCATTGTTATTTAGAGAAAGTTCTTACTATATCATGAAAAGAAATTTTAATTTAGTATTATTAAATTAATTTCTCACAAGACAGTTTTTATATCTTCATCATGGGTGAAGTGGTAGAACATTTACTGCTTACTGTAAAATTAAAAGACTGTTGTTTTTCGTAGATGGCATATATTTCATGTTTTACCACAGATGTTCAGAGCTAATAGTGACCAAAGTTTCAGCTGTACATGATCAGATCTAACGGTAACCATTTTTTGCAGCTGCCTATGATAGGGAACCGGAGGTATGACGTGGGCAGGTTCCTGACCAAGTCGCTAAACAGGCTCGGCCTAAACTATGTAGATGCCTACCTTATGGAGGGCCCTGTGGGTCTTCAAGGTGAGTGTGAGAGACCTAGGATGTGGCTCTACAAGGTGACTGTTACAGACTTGGGATTTACTTTTACCCTCTTCACCACTGATCGGCTCGTTAGCCACTTGGGCGATCGGTCACGTCTCTGTTACGCACTGTTGGCAAGTACTGGGCATGCACCGGCTCCTGAATGTACCTGAACCCGCTCCAGTGTTGGTCAAGTCTTGTCTTGAAAGAGCTCACACTCGGTGCCGTCACAACACTTTTTGGTAGATTGTTCCAAGAGTTCACAACTCTCACTCCGAAAAAGTTTGCCCTCACAGTTTTCTGGACTTATCGCTTCTTCAATCTTGAGCTGTGACCTCTTGTGATTAGGTGAGAGCTTGGGCATGGCTCTACAAGGTTGAGTGTTGACGTAAAAGAGAGCGTGAAAGAGAGGGATGAATTTTGGTTTTGTCTATTTACAGTTTTTAACTTGTATTTCACTTATACAGGCAGGAATGATGAAGATTTGCGTCCACGCAATAAGGGCGGGAAGAGCCGTCTCGACCTAAGTTCAGATATCTTCAGTGTGTGGCGTGGCATGGAGGACCAGGTCAGTTACACTTTATATCATCATATTATATCAGGTCAGTAGCTCTTGGTTATGAAAAAGCCTTTACCCTAAATCAGATCAGGTTAGGTTAAGAGGCCTTGTTTGTGATGAAGCAGTAAGTCAATTATTACACCTTCTCCCCAGGTCGGATAAGGTCAGAGGGCCTAGTTGTCATGAAGTGTGATACTATAATAAGACATTCAACCATTCGTGGTGTACCTGATATATATTGTGATGTTTACCCTTACTGATTATTTATTTTTTTTAATAATCTTGTAATATCTTAGTTTCTTTAAATTGATAAATATGGATGACTAACACCATTTTATCCACAGTATATAACTGGGCGTGCTAGATACGTGGGACTTTGTAACTTCAACATAGAACAAGTGAACGCTATATACACCCGTGAGTTCCTCTTTTATTGTTGTTTTTTAATGTTTATTTACTTGCTCTTCTGTATATTGTGTTGTTTGTTTCTCTGATTCATGCTTTTGCATTATATCACATTATTTTTTGTGTCTTCTAGTCAATTGATCTGGTGTTGCTAAGGTGTGAATTAATGATTAGAAAACGTATATAGTACCTAATTAAAATGATTATATGGCAAATAAATACAAAACAGCTTCTGTTCTTCATCTTTCAATTGTGTAAGAAATTTGTTTTGCTATACTGTATCTTATTTTGTCTTTCAAATAGAACACAGGCAAGTGTTTTTTTTTAGCATCAGGGTTGAGCGTGTTGAAGCAGAGAAGTACATGTACAGTGGTCCCTCGGTTAACGAACACAATTCGCTCCAGAAGGTTGTTCGTTAACCGAAAATTTCGTTAACCAAATACATTGTTTCAATGGAATATTTGGTAATTGGTTCCAGCTCACCGAAAAGTACATACAAAGTAAAAAAAACTGCATTAAGGTACACTTACTTTGAGGTGTGTATGTAGAAGGTTCCTGGTTGATGATGATGATGGGAATTAGAAGTGGGGGTGGAGGAGAAGGGAGAAGAGAAGGAATTGGGAATGGAGGAGAAATCACCTTTCAGGGGAGCCATTCTGGATCCAGTATTTTCACCAATAAAATTTTAAGTTCACTTGGTGTAATTCAAGATTACTTTCTTTAAATCAACACTGCGCTGCGCTATATATTATCAATGTGTTAAATAAGTTTCAGAATGACCAATACAGTAATTGTATACTGTAAAAACGTAAAAATACTCTGTGGTCAAGAGAGCCACAAGCAAGATGTTTCCTCCACCACTGAACAGAGACACAAACAGACACCTTGGTGGGTGAGTGAAGTGGCTGATGGGCGCACCAAAAACTAGTTCTCTGTACTGCAATTATGTTAAATATGTGTTAAAATTACTAATAATTTTAATATAAAACTTGGAAAAATATTGAATAGCACAACCTTCTTAATATTTACTCCAATGGGAAAGAACGTAATCCCTAGAACCGATTACTGTATTGGCGGATTAACCTACCAGCTGATGAGCAAGCCAAAACATGTTGACATGTTTTCGTAAGAATTTCATTTATCAAATTTTTGTTCGTTAATCGAATTTTTGTTCTTTAATCGAATTAAAGATTCTTATGGAAAGTAATTCGTTAACCGAAATTTTGTTAACTGAGGCTTTAATTAACTGAGGGACCACTGTATTCTACAGCGCTGTAATTCCTCATTCAGCACATTTTTTCTCAGCGTGAATCGGTGAGACTACTATCAATGTCTTAACTACGATTTTTAGACCATTAGTCAGGTGCAAATCACTTGTCATCTGATTTTACCGATACTTTTTAAGTATTACAGAATTAGTACGGTATTCAACAATAAAGTGAGAATTAGAACAGAACGAATAAAAAAGTATGATTATGGATAATAAAAGTATTTGATGTTTTTGATTTGATACCAACACTAACTTAAAGAGAAAAGTTACACTGTACTGTGCTTTATTGACATCTTATTTTGATTTTAAAAAATTCAGGGACTAATTCATTAAAAAAAAATTAAGTCGTTTGGATATTTGGGTCTGTTTGTGTCTGCTTGTAGCCGTAAATATTTGGTTATCTTATCTTTTTGTACTTTTATCCTCTTCGCCGCCGATTGGCTCGTTAGCTGCTTGGGCAGTCGGTCACGTTTGTGTTGCATACTGTTGACAAGTACTGGGCGTGCACCGACTCCTGACTATATCCGAACTTGCTCCAGTTTTGGTTGATGGTAAATTTTGTCTTAAATGAAACATATATATATATATATATATATATATATATATATATATATATATATATATATATATATATATATATATATATATATATATATATATATATATATATATATATATATATATATATATATATATATATATATATATATATATATATATGTATGTATATGTATATATATATATGTATATATATATATATATATATATATATATATATATATATATATATATATATATATATATATATATATATATATATATATATATATATATATATATATATATATATATATTATATATTATATATATATATATATATATATATATATATATATATATTACTGTATATATATAAGAATGTTGATTAAGATTTTACTTTATCACAGGGTGTAACTTGAAACCACACATTGTTCAATTAGACATCAACGTGTACCACATGCGTGAGGCAGAGAGACAGTTCCTTGAAGAAAAGAAGATCACTGTAATGGCCATATATACCTTGGGCCCCCCTAGCTACACCACCATGTAAGTACAGTAACTGCACTTCTAGAGATGTTAGGATTTCACACTCATAATAAAGGTCATAGTTTGGAGGTCACTTGTATTATTTAGTGTGCACATCATCAAACACAGGTAAATTACACCAGCTGCGTGCTTCTTTCTACTGCCTTGGTTTTTTCCCTTCAGAAAAGGATACCCAACGTTGCCTAGAAATGCTAAAGTGATTAAAATCGCCCGTGACCATGGTGTACACACAAAGGCCGTCCTGGTGCAGTTCCTCCTCCAGCAGAAGATCATTTCCTTTCTTAAGGGAGTGTCTTTGGAAATACAGACTAAGATCTATGCAGTAAGCATCTCTCCTAGCTACTGTATTGTTGTACTAGTACTGTACAGTACTTATCACTCTCTCCATCACAGTAGTACATGTGTTCAGTGATGGGAAGGATATACTAGTTGAAACTGCTTAGTCATAGGGCTGAATTCTTTCTCAGTATGAAATGATAGTGTGGCGACATCATCTGGATGTCTGTAGGCTTCTTTCCTTATACTGTATACACTGAATGTAGGAAAAGTTCTCTATTTTCAATTTAATATAAATGAGACTTTTCAGTCATTGACTTTGTATGATAATTTGGGGATGACGTAAAAGTTGGAATGTCACAATTTACGCCATGGATGGATGGTCAATAATGTGTTGTTGTGGTAGTCACCTGCTTCACATGGGATAAGAAACCAGTGGCCGTCAGGTCATGGTGAAATAAGAAAATAATCTTCCTTTGGTGCAAGTTATAGTTTTAATTTATCAGACATGGGATCCCTGGGTTATGAACGGGTTACGTTCCTGAGGACATTCTTAAGTCGGATTTATACGTAAGTCTAAACACGTTTTATGTGCATACTGTACTTAAAGAAAAATGTTTAAAATCCCACTATATCATCGCCCAAGTCTTTATTTACATCTAAAATCACTTAATTTAAGACGAAAGAAGAAATAGAATGACATAAAACAGTAAATGAAAGTAAAAATCATCAGGTAAATAAAATACTGTAAATTTAAAGTTTAACCCCATTCATATCGGTGGGCGTTCATAAGTCGGGGACCCACTGTACAACTAAAAGTAACTGTTCTATTGATAGTAATATTTCCTTCAGTAGTACAATATTGCCTCATTGGTATGTGTATTCTTGTTAGTACTTGTGGCAGTGTGTGTATACGTGTTGAAAATTTTATTTTTACATCTTAAATATAGTACAGAAAACAGTATTTAGCAAATTTATATATATATATGTATACAGTGGTCCCTCGGTTAACGAGTTACCTTCCATAAGATTCTTAACTTCGGTTAACGAGCAATCCCTCGATTAACGAGTTTCTTATGAGCCGACCTCAACATGTTTTCGCTTGCATTTGGCGGTCCACCAGCTGTAGTATTAGTCCGCCAATACAGAAATCGGTTCTAGGGCTTATATTCCTTACCATTTTAGTAAATATCAAGAAGTTTATACCATTCAATAATTTTAAAAGTTTAATATTAAATTTTTAGTCATTTTAACAATTATTGAACATAATTGAAGGTAAGGAAACTAGTTTTATGCACACCATCCAGCCTGGCAACACACGAAACAGGCGCCAGTCTCTGTCTTTTCAGTGGAGGTAACATCTTGCTTGAGACTCTCTTCAACTAAACGCTTTTTTCTGTGTTTGCAAGCAAATTATTGGTCATTTTGAAATTTGTTTTACATATTGACAATATATAATGCAGTGCAGTGTTGATTTAAAGAAAATAATCTTGAATTACACCAAGAGAACTAAATTTTTATGGGTGAAATGGCGCCACCCTAATGCCTTCTCTTCTCCCTTCTCCTCCACCCCCATTCTAATTCCCATCATCATCATCATCCAGGAGCCTTCTACATACACACCTCAAAATAAGTGTACTTTTCTACCTTTTTTGTTGAATTTAGGCAATTTTCGGTGACCTGGAACCAATTACCCAAAAACCCATTGAAACAATGCTTTCGGTTAACGAGGAACCTTCTAGAGCGGATTATGCTCGTTAACCGAGGGACCACTGTGTGTGTGTGTGTGTGTATATATATTTGGTGATTGTCAATCTAGTTATTACAGGTTGGGTATCCTTTATCCGAAATGGCTGGGGCCTTAAGGGTCTCGGATTTGGGAATACCCATATCCTATATCCAGTATTGCATACAGAACCTGTATAATGCGGTAGCTCACCCAGCAGGGATGGGGCCCAAGTCTGTGCACAAAATTCATTTATATTTCATTTACAGCTTTATGGATACATATATTCTGCAGGTAGTTTTATGAAATATAATTAAATCATTTTGGTTATAAACTATATGATAAAATGTACACAAAAGACCCAGAAAGGTAAGCAATCACTACCGTCTGTTTGGCATAGCCATGACGCCTGACTCTGAGGCGCTAAGCAGCCTATGTCTTACCTTTATTCATTACACATACATACTTACCCTAGTAAAAATTATCATATCTGCCATATTCTGTTTATTATCTACCATAAATATAATGAAATAGACTTTCGGATTTCAGAGCATTTTGGACTTGGGAATTTCAGATAAGGGATATCCAACCTGTATTATGTAATAATTCTAGATAAATTACTGTACAGGTATACAGTAGAATGATTTTTTATTCCTTTCTTAACAAGTAATCTTTCTTTTGCTATGCATGAATATTAATGGTAGGAATTTTCCAAGGAGTTCAGAGTCCTTTGGAATGTTTATAGGGTTAAGAGGTTAACTATTTTCTGATCTAGTAATGTACCGTAATTATTTTGTATTTTACAGGGTGTCACAAAGATACAGTAATAGTTATGTGTGGCTTACTGGATGTCACAAAAGACCACTTATCCTTGTGTATTTTTACAGGGCCTCCAAAATTTGCACTTGAATAAGGAGGAGATGGAAGTGTTGAGGAGACTGGAAATGGGAGGATACGCCAGGCAAAGAGATTTCGTGGAGCATAAAGGGTAAGATGAGTTCCTTCCTCACAAAGTCTTATATTGTGTATTAATAGATGTTTTTGTTTATTCACCCTTTACGAGTCCTTTATGTGCTTTGGTGCAAGGTGACCGGAATCGAGAATGACACTCATGTTTTTGGTTATTCGTTATCATTCAGACATTCTAGTGACAAGTATGTTTATTTTGGTTTGTTTTTTAAGTATTACTGTGTCTTCTGGTCTGTCATTAGTGGTAAACATTGATGATTATCGGATGTATTATTTTTTTTAATATCTTGCAGTTATTTTTAACAAGCGTGCCTCATATACAGTACCACAAAAGATATCTGCAAGCAGTTTTCATAAGCAGTATTTAGAATATGAATATTTTTGCTCATCGTTCTACAATAGGTCAAGATCAAGGATTGTGCATTCACATTTCAAGAGATAGATGTTTTTTAGTTGCCTATGGTATATTTTGCTTACCTAATGAAGTGAAAGTTTAATACAGGTATTACTGTCGATCACCACATGCTTGTGTGTTTTTCATCCATTTTACCCACAGTCTGGAGTAATCTCTTTGTTGCAGACATGGCTCAATTTTGTGTATAGGCATAAATTGAAGTGATGGAGAATAAACATATATATTCTAGTCAGCTCCCTAATTCACGAGTATGTACCCAGAAGTACATCACTTCAGGCTATAGAACAGTTCATTTTACCCTAGGCAAAACATTGCAGGTGCTATATAGTATAAATATAAGTAGAAAAACAAGATTTTCAAAATTATATCCGTGCACAGACACTGTTGACACTACTGTACTCGTGATCAATGTATCCTCATATAACATCGCTCACACATACAGCAGTATAAGTATACAGGTACTGGAAAATATTAAATAAGATTAATAATATAAATTTCGTAATAATATAAGTAGTACCGGTACACAACATTCTTTTGTCATTTTATCTTTTTATTAGATAAATAAAGGCAAGTATCATTTTTACTCACATCAAAACTGAACAGCAGTTAAGAGTTATTCACTCAGTTGCCTCAAGCAGAGGTTGGATCTCTTGTGATGAAGCCTTCCCTTCCTGACACTTAGAAATATTTTTCTTGCCACACCATCAGGGGAGCAGCTACCAAGATAATACAACACTCACAAACATAATCTTGGCTAAGCCATATCCAGTTTAATCTTATCTCTAATAAACATTCAAGTGGTGGAATAATGTACCTGTAGTTTATTTTCCTTCTCTATATACAGTTTTATACATAGTTTTGTTTCGTAGTGTGTGTGACCTGTCATATGCTTGTCACATGAAATTCTGCAAGCCTCGTGCAAGGCAAGTTGGTCTTTGGTCCAAGAGGTCAAATATTAATTACCACTTAAGGTTGCATATTGGCCTCACAGAACTTTATTTTACCTTATTGGTCTTCCATTAATTTGCTATCCTTGAGTGCCTGTTATTGGCCTTGGATGTAGCTTAATGCTTTGTACATGTATAACCTACATTGTATGTGTATAACTTGAGAGTATAATACATAAATTATTCATCTTTATCAACAATATTTGTTTCCTACATACCAGTACTTTTCTGATATTTTACAGGTGCCAAAGTCATCCAGACTATCCCTTCTCATATGATTTTAAACAAGAAGGCATTGTCGGTGACCTAAATATATGTAATAACTTCAGATCCATCCATTATTCCAAGGACTCGGATGATGCCAGCCCAAGTGACGTATATAAGCAGCTCTTGACTCATGTGGAGGGACAGGAAAATAACGTTTATCCTCCTTCAGAATTAGGTAACAAAGGCACTAGCATATCAGCAAGTGATACTTTTGAAAGAATATTAGCCAGCTTTGAAGACTGTGGTGATATGGAACCTCAGATAGTCATAGACAGTACCATATACCTAATCACAAAAGAATATAAAGGAAGCTGCACACTGAAGCAAGACAAAGTTTTGTATCAGGGAAAATTTACAACATCCCTGCAAGTTACTGAGGAAAACTTTTATAATACAAATGAAAGAAAACCTAATGATACTCTACAATTCAAACAAAAATATGATTACTATAATATTGCACCCATGGAAATGAGAAAAAACAAGGTATCCAGGCAGAGATTATCAGAAGAAGAAAATTTTTCTTGGCCAAAGAAATATTTTAGATCTTGTAAGAAAATTTCCCAGAAAAAGATGTCCCAAGATGACACTTTCAAACCTGTCAGAGAAAATTTGGGGGGGGAAGAAACTCAAAACAACAACCAGACGAAGACTAACAAGGCACAGGTGTCTTCTCAGGAAACACATTTATCCAAAAGTTCAGAGTCAAGTTTTAAAACGATGCAGGATTTAAGATTAACGTCTAAAGGAAGCATGAACCAAAGCTCTCCACACGGAAACATTCATCATATACACAATGATAAAACAGCCAAACCAACTAGCAACAGAGCCTCTTCGAATGGCATCGCTTCACACAGAGACGACAAAAGAAAAACACCTGACGCAAGAGGTGAACAAAATTATTTACAAGCAGGGATGTCAGAAAGAACATTCAAAAAGAGTAGATCTTGTAAAAACATTAAAGAAAAATTTGAAAGAGCTGTACCACAACAAAATTCAAGTGGAAATAATCTTGAGATGAAAAATGCCAAACATACTTATTCTCAACCTCAGGTGTCTCTGGGCCCAAACAACAACAAAATAGTTTTTGAGGGAAGCTACGAAAAAAGTGGGTCACAGAGGCAGAACTCATCTCAAGACATAAAAAGAGGTAAAATACCAAAAACACGCATCGACCAGTATATTCCTGAGGCAAAACTAACACAAAATCAAAAGACAAAGGAAACAGCTCAGACAAAGAAGAAACTACCTATACAATTGGAGGATTCACTTGGGAAAAACAAGAAACAAAGAGCTGTTAAGGACAAGAAACCTACTCCTCTCCAATCAGTTGATTATCTTTGTCCAAACGATAATAAAACAGCCGTAAGAAACAAGAAACAAGGTCCTCCAAATATTTCACTTTGCCAAAACAAGAATGAAACAGTTGTAACAAAAATGAAAGAAGGTTCTTCACAAACAAATGTTTCACATATTCCTAAGAAGAATGAAACGGTTGTACCAAAAATGAAAGAAGGTCCTCCACAAACAAATGTTTCACTTGGTCCTAAGAAGAATGAAGCAGTTGTACCAAAAATGAAAGGTCCTTCGCAAACAAATGTTTCACTTGGTCCTAAAAAGAAAGAAACGGTTGTACCAAAAATGAAAGAAGGTCCTCCACAAACAAATGTTTCACTTGGTCCTAAAAAGAAAGAAACGGTTGTACCAAAAATGAAAGAAGGTCCTCCACAAACAAATGTTTCACTTGGTCCTAAGAAGAATGAAGCAGTTGTTCCAAAAATGAAAGAAGGTCCTTCGCAAACAAATGTTTCACTTGGTCCTAAAAAGAAAGAAACGGTTGTACCAAAAATGAAAGAAGGTCCTCCACAAACAAATGTTTCACATATTCCTAAGAAGAATGAAACGGTTGTACCAAAAATGAAAGAAGGTCCTTCACAAACAAATGTTTCACTTGGTCCTAAAAAGAATGAAGCAGTTCCAAAAATGAAAGAAGGTCCTCCACAAACAAATGTTTCACATATTCCTAAGAAGAATGAAACGGTTGTACCAAAAATGAAAGAAGGTTCTCCACAAACAAATGTTTCACTTGGTCCTAAGAAGAAAGAAACGGTTGTACCAAAAATGAAAGAAGGTTCTTCACAAACAAATGTTTCACTTGGTCCTAAGAAGAATGAAACGGTTGTACCAAAAATGAAAGAAGGTCCTTCACAAACAAATGTTTCACTTGGTCCTAAGAAGAATGAAATGGTTGTACCAAAAATGAAAGAAGGTCCTTCACAAACAAATGTTTCACTTGGTCCTAAGAAGAATGAAATGGTTGTACCAAAAATGAAAGAAGGTCCTCCACAAACAAATGTTTCACTTGGTCCTAAGAAGAATGAAACGGTTGTACCAAAAATGAAAGAAGGTCCTTCACAAACAAATGTTTCACTTGGTCCTAAGAAGAATGAAGCAGTTGTACCAAAAATGAAAGAAGGTCCTTCACAAACAAATGTTTCACTTGGTCCTAAGAAGAATGAAACGGTTGTACCAAAAATGAAAGAAGGTCCTCCACAAACAAATGTTTCACTTGGTCCTAAGAAGAATGAAATGGTTGTACCAAAAATGAAAGAAGGTTCTTCACAAACAAATGTTTCACTTGGTCCTAAGAAGAATGAAACGGTTGTACCAAAAATGAAAGAAGGTCCTTCACAAACAAATGTTTCACTTGGTCCTAAGAAGAATGAAACGGTTGTACCAAAAATGAAAGAAGGTCCTTCACAAACAAATGTTTCACTTGGTCCTAAGAAGAATGAAATGGTTGTACCAAAAATGAAAGAAGGTTCTTCACAAACAAATGTTTCACTTGGTCCTAAAAAGAATGAAGCAGTTGTTCCAAAAATGAAAGAAGGTCCTTCGCAAACAAATGTTTCACTTGGTCCTAAGAAGAATGAAATGGTTGTACCAAAAATGAAAGAAGGTTCTCCACAAACAAATGTTTCACTTGGTCCTAAGAAGAATGAAATGGTTGTACCAAAAATGAAAGAAGGTTCTCCACAAACAAATGTTTCACTTGGTCCTAAGAAGAATGAAATGGTTGTACCAAAAATGAAAGAAGGTTCTTCACAAACAAATGTTTCACTTGGTCCTAAGAAGAATGAAATGGTTGAACCAAAAATGAAAGAAGGTTCTTCACAAACAAATGTTTCACATATTCCTAAGAAGAATGAAACTGTTGTACCAAAAATGAAAGAAGGTCCTTCACAAACAAATGTTTCACTTGGTCCTAAGAAGAATGAAGCAGTTGTTCCAAAAATGAAAGAAGGTTCTCCACAAACAAATGTTTCACTTGGTCCTAAGAAGAATGAAATGGTTGTACCAAAAATGAAAGAAGGTCCTTCACAAACAAATGTTTCACTTGGTCCTAAGAAGAATGAAATGGTTGTACCAAAAATGAAAGAAGGTTCTTCACAAACAAATGTTTCACTTGGTCCTAAAAAGAATGAAGCAGTTGTTCCAAAAATGAAAGAAGGTCCTTTGCAAACAAATGTTTCACTTGGTCCTAAGAAGAATGAAATGGTTGTACCAAAAATGAAAGAAGGTTCTCCACAAACAAATGTTTCACTTGGTCCTAAGAAGAATGAAATGGTTGTACCAAAAATGAAAGAAGGTTCTCCACAAACAAATGTTTCACTTGGTCCTAAGAAGAATGAAATGGTTGTACCAAAAATGAAAGAAGGTTCTTCACAAACAAATGTTTCACTTGGTCCTAAGAAGAATGAAATGGTTGAACCAAAAATGAAAGAAGGTTCTTCACAAACAAATGTTTCACATATTCCTAAGAAGAATGAAACTGTTGTACCAAAAATGAAAGAAGGTCCTTCTCAAACAAATGTTTCACTTGGTCCTAAGAAGAATGAAGCAGTTGTTCCAAAAATGAAAGAAGGTTCTCCACAAACAAATGTTTCACTTGGTCCTAAGAAGAATGAAATGGTTGTACCAAAAATGAAAGAAGGTTCTCCACAAACAAATGTTTCACTTGATTCTAAGAAGAATGAAACGGTTGTACCAAAAACGAAAGAAGGTCTTTCACAAACAAATGTTTCACTTGATTCTAAGAAGAATGAAATGGTGAGGACAGATGGCATGCAAGGTCCACCACAAACCAAGGTCCCATAATCCAAACAAGAATTAAATGGCATTGATAAACAAGAGACAAGGTCCTCTGTAGTTATGCACATCACGTGGAGCAAACAAACCTGACCTTAAAATATGAAGCAGCAAACAGAACCCTTCACAAAAATTTTTTTGACTGGCTACAAACATTGAAACTTGTGAGACTTTACAAGCTGATATGACACACAGTATATACACAGTCATAGCAAATTGTTACTCACTATTGAATACAAATAGGGTAAGAGTTATGACCTGCAAGAAAACAACACCCTTATCAGACATCTAACAGTGCAAGCACTATCTCTACAAGAATAAACGTCAGACAATATCTCACAAACAGACTAATCACACAATGCGGAGAGTGCAACCTTTAAAACTCTTAGTAAATAGACCTGTACACAAACTGTTCATTCAGTACAGATAGCCTAACAGCCAATACTAACATCAAAGAGCTGCACAAACAAACTTACCTTATAATACTTTACAGTAGCCTCACAAATAATGCAAACGGCAGAGTCCCACAGACAAACAAACATATACTGCAGTATTCATTCACAAGTGCAACAGCTAAAATTAGCGCCATTCGGAGTTCTCATGCGAACAAGCGCAGTCCAGTGACATAGCCAAGACAAGTAACAAATAGATGCAGATGTATTATTATATACTGTACTGTATTAGTATATTTTATTAAATATAACTAATTATATATTGTTATATGTATATGTGTAGTAATGTCAAAAATATTAATTATTTATCTACAGCTATTATATATCTATATATTTAATTATATCTACATGTATTGTTATATACCTAGATATATTACAAGATTAACATGTGTTAATATATTTCTAAAAGTAATATACTCACAGAATATTGTGTAACTAAATGAACTTTTGTCGCTGTAGTTATAATATAACTCTTATATTAGTACTGTACTTTATTACCATATTTATTGAAGTATTCTTAAATTGTTATGTATCAGAAATACTGCCACCCACAGGGGGTCTCCGACTTACGAACGCTCGCTGATACGAACAGGGTTAAACTTGACATTTACAGTATTTTATTTAACCGATGACCTATTTTCTACATTCATTTGCTGTATTTTGTCATTCCATTTCTTCTTTTTTCTTAAATTAAGTGATTTTAGATGTATATAAGGACTTAGGCTATTATATAGTGGGATTTTAAACATTGTCTGTAAGTACAGTATGCACATAGCATGTGTTCCAACGTACGTACAAATCTGACTTCAGAACGTCCTCAGGAACGGAACCCGTTCGTAACCCGGGGACCCCCTTTACTTGCTTGTGTAAAAAGGCCATGCCATATTTCCCCAAAGTTATGCCTAGAAATATGCCTTTTGGGTCAAGAATGTACAGGATATCATAATGCTGTTGTGCATACATACATTTCCCAAAAGTGACATAAATTATATACTGTATATGTACTAGTAAGATACGATAGGTTACAGGTATTTTGATGTTGTTAAGTTTCCACATACAAAAATGGGTAATAACAGATATGCTATGGAGTGCTTTATTATTTTTTAATAACCTTTTTTTATTTCTTAACCCTTAAGCCCTGGGTTAGGGTGCTGCTGGCAGTAACCCCCCCCCCTCCCCTCCCCCTCAAGTGCGGGGATAAATCGAGAAAAATCAAACTTTCCAAAACAAATAATAATAATAATAATAATAATAATAATAATAATAAAAAAAAATTGGCGAGAATAGGCGGACGTTCTGGAACGTCATCCGGGGCCTAAGGGTTAATTGCTTTGTTATTATGTAAATTTTGGATCAAGTACTATAACTTTCTCAGTTTCCAAAGTACAGTATATTGTCAGCCTGAATAGATTACATCTCATTTTCATCGTTTCATTTAATGCCACACTTCTTCAGGGTTACAGATGGTTGGTTAAGGTGTGAGTTATGGTCACTGGATGAAAGTGTGGTGCTCCAGGTGGTCCTTTTCATGGGAGCCACTAAAGAATCTGATACAAAAGTACAAGGTAATGTTAGTTTAAAAAAAAAAATGCTGCCCACTTTACTAATTTTGTCACTCTTACATTCTTATTCGTATCATGAGGTATATATGCATTGTGAACACCTTTGAGGATCTACATCCAGATTTTCAGGAAATAAATTTACACATAGTATAAATCAATACCTAAATGAACATTACATTCAAAGAGCACCTGGTACAGCCCTCTTCCTCTTAAAAAATGCCATTTCTCCCACATGACGAAGATAAATTATGTTAGCATTTATATTACAGTATTGTACGTATATACAAGTGGAGCCACCACAACTACCAGCGGAGAACACGTGATGCTTTAACTGTGTATGTGTGTGAGCTTGGTGGATGGTCGTGTGTGGTGGTGAGTACTGTGTGTGTGTGTGTTTTTGTCATTGTCTGTATTTGTGTGTGTGTAAGGGTCTGTTTAAAGAATCACTTGAGTGACTTAGTGTTAACATTTCCAGGTGGGAGAGATGATGTGGCCATCCGCCATGTTTTATCTCTTCGTATACGTGGCAGGTGCGTCGTCCTGGGCTCTCACTAACACCTACATGGATTAAGAGATAGATGAGTGTGAGTACAGAACTTTTGTAATGAAAAGTAATTGCTGGATGGTATTTCAAATTTACTTAGTTAAGGTAAAGTTGGGTTACAATAATACATTTTCTTATTAAAGAATTTCTGGTTCAAGACCAAAATAATAGACTGCCTCACACAAACTCTCCAGAGTACATTACTTTAAGCAGAGCCCTGGTTTATATAAGTCTCACTAAGTCCTAAACCCCATGTGTACGGGCCCCGCTCTGAGCTGGATAAAATCATCTGGCATTAGCCAAATAAAAAATTAAAAGTGGGATCCCTTTAGTGAAGGGGTTAACACCCTTTGACTCACTGGATATCTTGAACAGTAGGTCAGTGTTAGTCTTAAAGAAATATGCAGGTAAGATGTTAACTAAAAAATCCTCTCGTTAACCAAGTACAGTATATAGTGTTCCCAGTGAATTTAAGCAAAGAGGATAAAAGAACTGTACAAGTAAAGTATCAGAGAAGTAATAGTCAGTTATTCTTTAGATATCAGATATGGGATGGGTAGTTCAACATGTATCAATGGTTATTTTCTTATAATTAATCTTAATATTGCATCAATTGAATAGATCAGGTCATGGCAAAACCCCAGTCCTATGCCAGGTATAGTCAGATACACAAAAATTTAAAGGAGTAAATGATGACAAAATAGACACAAGAATAAGAGCACTGTCATGGTCCCGGGGACAGTGGCGCCCCCAGAGGCCCTCCCTGCGACAGCGGCGCCCTCAGGGGAACAAAATCGTCATGTGTACCCTTGACAAGTAGAGTACTCCGAATTCTTCAGCTTCTGCCACAAGTTTCGAAACAATTAACAACTCTAACGATCATTTGACGAAACATGGGTGCCATCATTAATTCTGATGTACTGTACTCAATTACATAAAAAATCTTAAATTTTAGTATCAACGCCTTTATTTCCATCTAAGAATAACAGAATACTTCTCAGACCAATAAAACGTTTTACTCAGAAAAAAATACCTGGACAAATATAGACGAATTACTTCTCGAACTACAATAATGCGGTAATTACCGTACCTTACTGGATTGTTACAATTGATTGTTGATAGATACATAGATAGATAGGTAGACAGATACATATGTATAGATGGATGGGTCAATGGATACATATGTATAGATAGATAGTGATTTTTTTAATCATCATATCTGTTGTACAGGTAATTACTTCAAGGCATAAGTTATTACAGCATCTACCTGGCCCGTCCATCAAGGGCAAATTAACTGTACTTGTGGCTGAGGCTATTATTACTACATTCTGGCCTCGTGATTTATATTAACAGTACTGTATATGTAACTTTAACTTTTATCCTCTTCGCCACTAATCGGTTTGTTAACCGCTTGGGTGGTCGGTCACGTTTCTACCAGAATACCTCAATACCTTCCTTAATAATCTACATACTGTAAATTGTAAATGCAATGTTATTTACACCCATTTACAGTGTATAATATATATCAGGTTAGACATACAAATACTGGGTAAATTCAATAAAAAACCCGTCGGTTATCCCAATGTTTCTTTTCAAAGCCGACATTTGACAACATTTCTTGCAGCCTAAACAAGTATCAGGTTTAGCAAAATTTACTCATAGTGCTACTTCTTTCAGTTCCTTACAAACTACAATAAATTTATTTGTTTAAGTGTATCCTAAAGATATATTCATAGCTTTTTTGATTAATACCTTCACAACAGCTGGACGCCACTTTTAATATTTATTTCATTTGGCTAACACCAGGCAATTTTATTCAGTGCAGAGAGATTGTTCACACTTAGGGGGGTAGCTTACGTGTCTTTATCTATGTACAGTATTCATGTAAAATATACAACGGTTAGTGCGATAGTAAGCTAATTTAGATGTGATAAAATGTAGATACTATATAAAGAATTATAGCTGTAGAAACTCACAAACAACCGATGACGTTGATGATAAGATTAATCACAATATGTTCGTTACTAAACAACAACAACAAAAATAAGATAGACAGACATAATGGACAGATCAACACAGTGATGATCATCTCCCCACATGACGAAGTTGTCACGCAAGCGTTCATAATTACAGTATTATAATTTACAGTGGAGCCGCCACGACCACCGGCTGGAACACGGTACACCTATGCTTAGTATTGTGTGTGTAAGCCTGGTGGACGGACGGTCGAGCGTGATGGTGAGTACTGTGTGTGTGTGAGAGGGCACTGGTGGATGACAGGTGAGATTAGTGAGGGTGGGTAGAGGAGAGCCTTGTATGAACTGTTATTGTGATTGTGTGTGTCTGTGCATGATTTATTTCTTAGGAAATAACTAGTCTGTGTATATATATATATATATATATATATGATGATGTACGTGTATTATTTTGTATGTTGGGAAGAGTCTGTATCCCTGCAGAAGTCTGCACCCAGAACACTACCATTATGACAATTTTATGTGCTTAAATAAGTACAAAGGAAACGTCTGGCAAATACCTGTAAAAAATGATCATGACTGGTTGTAGTATAGTGATGATCATACTGGTCATTAATACGACTCAACACCTAAAGAATCTCTTGAATGACTTAGTGTTAACATTTCCAGGTGGGAGAGATGATGTGGCCAACCGCCATGTTTTATCTCCTCGTGTACGTGGCAGGTGAGTAGTCCTGGGCTCTCACTAACACCTACAGTACATAAGTACAGAGATGATAGACAGAAAACATATATGGGTAGAATGGCAATCTGGAAGACAGTAAAAGAGGAAAGTAGGTGTTTATATATATATATATATATAATATATATATATATATATATATATATATATATATATATATATATATATATATATATATATATATATATATATATATATATATATATATATATATATATATATATATATATATATATAAATAAAGACATTGGTACACACATTGATCTATTATGTAATTTAATCATTTTATAAATATATTAATACCATCCAGAGATCTTGTACAGTAAAAATATCAGATGATCAGACACATAGTAAAGAAGAAGGCTGTCTATTTTGTATTGAATAAATTATGCACTGTACTGTACTGTACGTGATGGTAGCACAGGCTCCAGTATCTGTAGACTATTATTGAGTGTTTGTTTCATTATCACACACTCGATAGAACTTAAAATGGTAAAGTTTTACCTTACACACTAGATAGTATTTTGTTACAACAACACAATAGGCGATAAAGAAGCAGGTGTGGTCTTATGTTTTATGGGGCTACCTATCTTCCTCGTCTGGTCACGGTACTGCAGGTTGTACTATTACACTTAAGTGTGAATCATGTACTGTATTGTCATTTTTGACAGAATACTTGGAAGTGGTGAACATTTGATCATTTTTGTGACAATGTTTCCTACAGTTTCCTAGAAGATGATAATTGTCCCTTTGGCTGAGCTGGCCCTCACCCATTACCCTGAAATGTGCAGGTTTTCAAGGAAAGCGTTTATTCAGAAAGACGACACTTTTGAGTGAATTCGGAGGATAATCTATTTGGTTATTACACTGTATTGATTCGTGTGATACTATATTTAATATGTAAGAACACTTAAGTAGGTTACTCACCTTGGTGTGTCCTTGTCCAAGTGTACGCAGTATGTCATCAGTGTTGGCTGGAATAAGAATACATTTAAATAACGAATTACTGTATTATACCTTATAATATATCAGTGATTTAAACATAGTGACAAATACATTTATAAAAATAAAACAATAACAGACAAACCTGTTTCTAAATTGATGGTATTTGTTTATACAGGTTAAATATACCATGACTTACAATAAGTTTATACAGTAATACAATTTCACAATTTTATACATGTTCTTATACAAATTTAATCTTATCAACTATCTTGAGACTTATGTCGCTAACTGTGGGTTAACTAGTAGGTTAAAATTAAAGGTCAACACTAAAATTTTCACCACTTCCCACTAGGAAACTGTGAGACTATGTAAAACACAAAGCAAGAAAAATCAATATAACTCAACGTTTTAATGAGAATTAAATCCTTGTCCTCTCAACTCTAGCACTGTGGTGAAGTAAGAAGCGTGAGTTGGGGGTGGGTACAGTGTAACACGTAATACACAATAAAGACAATATTGAGAAGGAATCACATAGAAGTCCTGTTTTGTTGCACCATTGCAAAATAACTTACCGTCTACCGTACACTGTCATTATCTTTAAATCTTGTACTAAGATTAGCAAAAACTTCAAGAGAAACACTTGAAATGTATAGAAAAAGAAGAGTAAGATGCTTTGGTCATATAATTAGGGATGAGGGGATAACAACAGAAATATTAATGGGCATAGTTGAGGGGAAGATGGCCAGGGGAAAGCAGAGACTGGGATGGATGAATGAAATTAAAAGTTGGGTCCCCAGAGAGATACAAAACCTTAGATGATTGGTAAAAGCAACCCGAGAAGGTTTAGAGTGGAGGACTGTGGTAGCCAACCCTCAGATATGAAGATGGTACACTGATGCCTCATCACCCTCTTGAAAACTACTTCATTTCAGCTGTTACGCTCATTTTGAATTGATAATTATGGTAATTATTACTATCCTTTATATGCCCATAACTGATCAAAGAGAAATAGATATACAGTATATTATTAATGAAAAAATCATTAAAACTCAAACCATCAGTTCACACGGTGAATGAGCCATCCCTATATGTAGGCGGCCAGGTACTGCCATAGATTTTGAAGGCCGGGCAAGCTGGCAGAGCTGCAACTTTTGCTCATGAAAGGCACATCATATGAAGATTAGAAAAAGTCTTATGGGAACTGCACAGATCGCAGGTGAAACAACTGTTATGCTAAGGCATAATTTTGTAATATAATTTTGTAAACTAGGTGTTTTGATTGGATTCTGTCCCATGCAGCAGTTATTTTGGCAAATTTAGTGAAATTTGTGTGTATATACAGGTATTATGTATTAATTAAATAAGAATATTCTAGAATTTATTGCATCATTTTTTTATGATTTACTTATTATTGTAAGCCTTGATCAGAGTAGAACGTTATAGAATCTCCCAGCTTCTCTGGGTGATTCTAGGATGTTTGTAAAACTTCTGACGAGGCGTATATAAACAGCAACGAGCAGGCTAGGAGTCAGTCGATCACTTATGTTCAAAATATAAAGAATAAGCCTAGCAGAACAACTGAAGACAATTGCTGTGCAAGTATCACGGAATTGTTGTGATTAATATAAAGTGAAAAGATGAAGGAATTGTACACTGGTAGTGTGCCGACCACAGTATATCTTCGAAGTAAGAAGTCCAGCTGTGAAACTATTTCCCTCTTAACAGTGTTGTGAAGAATCAGTGCTTATTAACCCTTCCACCACGTCGGCTAATTTCAGCGGTACCTGTACTGTATTCCCCAATAAATGCCTTAAGTCAAAAGAAAATGAAAATGCTTACATTAAAGTTTTAACTATTTTTTTATGAAAAAAGCGTGAGAAATCCACATTTAACAATTAAAAAGTCATGAAGTAATAATGTCTAGGGCGAATTTACGATTTTGTGGGGAAAACTCTTTTTGTTCATAATAATGGGCAATATCATAAGTAGATATGTCAGATAGTGTAAACTGCAATGATAAATAGTTTATCTTCCATTGAAGTCACATGATTTTATATTACTGACCATTATTCATATATACTGTATATTGAAACCCCATATCTTAGGGGCAAATGCAAAAAATCACTTGTGCACAGACGAGAATGTTAGTGGGTAAATGAAATAAAAGATCGGAATGGACTAGTTATTCTATTGCACTTGTTATTTATTGGACCAGAACACTTAAATTAATATTACAAAGATGAAATTGATTGTAAGACAAGGAAGTAAACCAGATGTCCCCAGTCTTTGTTAGGCTTCTACAATGTAGATATGTGCGCGCTTAAGTGTTTTTGCTATAAATACTGTACTGTAACCATTCGAAGTGGCTTCCAAGTGCCCGTCACGTGTTAGTGATGCTAGTGTTGTGAAGAAGCAACGCAAGACCATTAGCCTTGCTACGAAATGAAGGTTTTAAACCCTCCACACACTTGCTCCACCTCTGCCCATCTGTGAGTACAATACAAATTTCTTTTATTTATTTATCTTCTTGGATGTATAATATATATTTTCTATAAAAATTCCATTGAATTTATGTATATGTAGTGTATTATATGGGACAAAGGGAGGCTGGGGAACATAAATAGCATATTTTATCTATTTCTTCTGGGGGAAATTGATTCTGTTAACGTTGTTTCCGTTAATGTTGTGTTTTTCATGAACGTAACCACGACGTTAAACGAGGACTTACTGAACACTGATAGGGCATTGGCTGATCTGCTGACGATGTTGATGTTAAGGTTTTCTTAATGAACATGGTGATGGGAAGCTGTCATTGTTGTTTCTTAAGCTGCTGGAACATATTCTTATACGGAGCCATAAGGTTTGTAAGACCTCGTGAGAAGTTGGAACCTAATCCCCGGTGTAATCCGCGTATACAGTACAGTAGTTGAAACCGCGTAAGCTGCGAGTCTACTGTATATTTTAATATATATATAATAGAATGGATCTATAAAAATGCTAATAAATACTTCTTGTGATAAATACATACTCATACTATACTAAATTATAATAAATATGATAGAATTATAACATTACAATACCATGATTTATTTGCATTTTTATAATTCTTAAAAAATAAATAACTACATAATTATACAATATTAATATATTATTCACCTGATAGAATTACAATAATATTATGTTGCCTCCAGTGTACAATGAATGTGATGCTATGTGTTTCAGACGGGCACAATGTTACCAAGGTAAAGTTCCAGACTGAAGGTTTGGCGTCCATAGCCAGCATGGTGGACGCTGGGCTAATAAACATACCCACACTTACCCAGGTGAGACATAGTGACTTGTTGGGGTATTGAAACTTATTGTCCAGGTGAGGCACAATGATGTATCGTGCGTGGTCTTTTAAGTCTGTGTTCTGCTGTCATGAGAACTTTGTGTAGAATCGATGATCGTTCTCTCTTTCTCCCTTATTGTCTCTCTTCTTTCCTTTCTTTCCCTGATCACTTAATTGCAGGTTTCTATTGTCACCCCCGGCCCCTGAAGCTAATAAATTATTCAAATTAAAGCACTTTAACAATAAGACAAAAAAATACTGTACTAACGATAATAAAATAAATAAAAATAATAGCATCACTAACCGAACAGTAAGCTCATCATGAACTTAGAGATAAATATTAATTATCTGGTATCTCTTTTACATGCTGATGAAGGATCTGGGTTCATAATTGAAAGTTTTGAGTAATCAATGTTAATTAATGACCCTTGCAATAAAAAACACATTTCAAAGATTATTTTAAAACATGAATTACACTGTGCCTGCAAGATTTAAATTCCCCTTATATATATTTTCTCAAGAATATTGACTAACTTCCAGAAAAAAGCTGTAAGTCACCGCAAAAACGCCTGGCCATGCATTTCAGCAGATGAGGTCGTGACGTAGATTTTTACTATTGTTCACTTGGTCTGTTTAATCTCTCCCCCATAAGTTTGCTCCATTCATCCGTTCTGCCGAGCACCATGTTTATTTCTTCTATAATACATAACATCTTACTTATTATTTCTTCCCACGTATCCCCCTTGTAATTAACAACACTTTCCACAGTTAGAGCAGAACTTTTGACAATACATTAAAAGGAAGTATTAGTAAATATCCTCTCGGTTTACCATTGATGAAGATGTACAATAAATAAAGAGTGGTACAATTTTTTCCAAAATTTTTCGGGAGACAATACTATAGAGTATGAACAATTACGCATATCACCGCATCAGATTTGACTCTCAAACACTCCCAGATGTATACAGGTATTTAATTCAACAACCTGTAATATTCTCTCCATGGTCAGTAACACTGTCCTTGAAATACAATTGATAAGGAAATCTTCCATCATTTCTCAACCCATGACCAACTGGCACTATGTACAATTAAGTTTGTTTGTGTTCTTACACCGCACATTAATTATATAGTATACAAAAATCTTTTAAACTTGGTTGGTGTAAAATAACATATATCATTCTCATTTGTTATCTCAGATGACAGTGTGTCTTCATTTCCGGTTACTGCACGGAGGTAAGGGAGTACCAGTCGTCAGCTATTCCAACAAGCAACTCTACACAGACGAGCTCTTCATTGGTGAGAGGAGATAAAGAGAATAGTCTACAGTAGTGGTTGGGTGAAGTGGTCAGATGTAACTTAATCTTAATAGGTTTTGACCTAACATAATCAATAGTAAGTAAATAATGTGTATACACAAGAGTTCTCTATGGCAATCACTTACAACCAAGCCATAAAACTACTGTATATGAATTGGCTTCTCAATTTTATTAAACTGTAATTAACCAGGTCTAAATTGGTATCGTCATACGTTAATGATTGAGTGTTGCCAAGAGGCAGTCATTGAAGATTTGCCCCTGGTGGTGAGGTTGTACGTCTGGCAACACCTATGTGTGACCCTGGACCTGGCAGCAGATGGCGTACTGATCTTCGCATATAATGGTAAGGTAAGTAAGCACCGAGTGATCATCGTGATAACAAATGTACCTCTGACTTTGACTCGCATAACAGAAGTCATCATTAGGTACATTTGGAGACATAATCATCAAACTATCAAATTAGTATGAAAGTTGGGTCTCTAAAGCTTCCTATTTGATTTTTTTGTGTAATTATTATTCATCAGTTGTAAATATTTCTCAATTTTATTCAACACGAGGATTTTCTTAACTTTTTGATGGTGTAATATAGTTCCTTTCTTAGATTAGCCATTAGTTTGTGTGAAATAAATACTTTGGTGAAGTTAGAAAAATGGGTAAAGTAATGACAATTTTATTTTGACTATTATTTACTCAAAAGTTGTGTGGGAAATTATCTCTTTATCCCACCAAATATATTTATTTTTTAGTCACTAAACGACTTGTACTGTACACTCAGTATTAATGGTTAGATCTATTTTGCATCTCTTTGTGAGATAACTTCAGTTTCATTCCCCAGTTAAACAAGAAGGAGAAGATCATAGACCAGTCAAAGATCACACCTGGGCGGAGGGTTCAGGTGCAGGGTGGCGGTCGTCTGATCATAGGACAAGAACAAGATGGTAAGGAAGGTAAATACGACATCACTCAGGCGATGGATGGAGAGATCGCTGACTACAAGTTCTACAATGTACTTTTGACTCCTGAAGAACTGCTCAACTTCACCACCTGTGCAGGACCTTTACCGGCAACCACTCCACCATTACTTACTCTGGATGATAGTCGTCTTGAGATCAAAGGACCAACGGCTAAAACAAATATTTCTGAAGAAGAAATTTGTCAAAATTTGACTAGTTATTTGCTTCTTATTCCTGAGAAAGTGGAATTCCAGGAAAGCATTACTACTTGCAACAAACTGAGAGGAACGCTTGCACTTCCGAAAAATGCCGTAGAGAACATCAATATCATTGAACAATTCCAGCATTTCAGTTCACGCTGCGAGGACACATATGCATGTCTGTACTGGGCTGGTACCAAGGGAATCCTCTCGACTGGACACTGGGTCCAACTAACAAATAATGAACCTGTAGCGTGGCATAATTTCCACAACCCGTCCCAGACTCCCCATGAAATATATCAATGTGTAGCAATTGCCAGCGGGAACCCTTCCTACCGCTGGTTGGCGACACCATGTGTAGATTATACCACTTCATGTTCTCTGTGTAACTTCACATCACATCCTCTTCTGCGGTTGCGGGGACTCTGCCAATCATCGTTGTTTGACCGTGAGTTGTACTTGAACGACTATGAGAAAGAGCGACCCAAGTTTGACGGGGCGAAGCACAGCCGTGTGGTGTGGAACAGCACGAGCTGGGTGATGATCAGCCGCCTTTATTTGGAACTAAGGGCTGTCATGCACGCGGACACCCCCGACACCTACCCCATCGGTCTCCACAACTGGACTATCAGCGGAGATAAATGTGGCCAGGGAGAGGTAGGAGACAGAGATCCTGCCATTTGTTTGAGTTTTTTTTAAATTGAGTCTGCTGGTCCTCCTGTGGCCTAAATTTTTTGGAACTCAACCAAGTGGCTTGTATTTTCCAAAGTTCATTATATTACTGTCAAAATTATATTCTTCCTCTTCTTATCCTTCTCTCTTACCTCTTATCTGGAACAAGCCATTCTCTTGTTAACTCACCTCTGTGGTCAGGTCGAGCTGATGTTGACACTGTGTGGCAACAAGGAGTACACCTGTGATGATGGCAGCTGCATCTCCAAGGACCACAACTGTGACACCTACACCAACTGCTCCGACCACTCCGACGAACTCAACTGTGACATTATTATCGTGCCAAGTGGCTACTCAGAGGAGCTCTTTCCCCCAAGCTCCACCACTGACCCTCTGTCGATCCACTTCCTCATCAATATCACCTCAATCAGGACCTTCAATCTAGCTTCTTTCGACGTTGCCATAGATGCCAAATGGCATACTAAATGGCACGACTCAAGGCTGACCTTCACCAACTTGGCAAATAACTACCAGAACAACAAGGTGAGACACTTGGAGAAGCTGTGGACGCCGGAGCTGCAGGTGACTGACGGCACAAGGAGCCTGGTGAAGGGGGCACAGGTTCCCGGCGATGTTTATGTCATCCGCAGATCAGAACCTTTACCCGACAACGACCAGAGGATAACAGAAGGTAAACTTCAGTGTCTGAGGTTCCTAAACTAGTTTCACCTGGAAGTGAGTAGTTTTTTTTTTATCTTTAATTTTTTGGAGGTGATTAACTTTTAAGATGTGAGCATAGCTTTTAACGCTACTTTCCATGGCTTATAAGCCTTTTTATTGTTCCAAAGCCACTGTGTGAGGTTAACCAATTTTAAGGTATTGTTAGTAGTCTGTAAGTCATGTCAGAAAATGTAATGTATTTTCCAGTCGGTCATTTATCGTAGTTTGAGACATTTTCTCTTAGTTTATAATCCATTTTCTGATATTAATATACAGTAATTTCATGTAGATCACAAGTGTTTAAAGAGTTTAATATATAATTTTCGAGGTTTATAAACTATTGTCCATGGCAAGAAACTCATCTCTTTGATCATTATTTTTCGTGGCTTATTAAACATTTCCCATAATCAATCTAAAAGCCATTTCCTTTCTTAATAAATCACTTTCCATAAGCTATAGCCCATTGTCTGTGGTTTACAAATAAAGCTTTGATTGTTCTTTCATATTCATTCTGTACAGTACAGTAGTTACAGTGCACCATTAGACTCCTGATTAATGGGAGTTTGTTTATATAATTTCTGTCACATTAGAAACTTCTAGTTCAACAGTTTAATATTTACTCAGAACTTCCAAGGAATATTTAGTGAAATATGTAAGTAAGAAGTAAACTAGAAATACCTCTTGTGAACTAATCAGAGTGTCCCCAGTTAATTCAAGTATCAGAAAATTCACTCAGTAATTCTCAGATAACAAATAAGGAAAGGGTAGTTAAACGTGCATCAACAGCTCTTTTCTTATAATTGATCTTAATACTACATCAAGTGGATAGATCGGGTCATGACAAAACCCCAGTCCTATGCCAGGTATAGTCAAATGCACAAAAACTTAAGGAGTAAATGATGACAAAAGTAGACCCAAGAATAAGAGCACTGTGATGGTTCTATATAATGATGCTCCTAAAGTACATAAGTAAGAGTCTCGGACCTGGTATCACAAAGAAATAAGATGTAATAATAAAGGTTCACTGGCAAGAGCACATAATGAGGCTGTAAAGGTCTCTTAGACTATAGAGGTAAAATACACAAAGATAACTTAGCTGTAATGTAGCAGACAATAAGACAGAGACGGAGAGCACTAGAGAAATCCACACACACACACACATGCTGTTGACAGAGGGAGGAGAGTAGAGTAACTATAATGTAGTATGGGTGAAGGAGGAGTGCTCCAGAAGTGATCACAGCATTAAATGGGCCCCCATCGTGGAAAAATTGTGAGATTGTAATGTCATCACTTGGATGTTGATTTTGATCGACTGATAGGTGATGCCTTCTCTTGCTTGAGCCGGTGATACCAGAGGGGAGGGGGGAGAGGTACCTGTGTCAGCAATGCTTTTTTCATAGACGTGATGGCGAGATGTGACATTGCTATCACTGTACTTGAATATATTTGTAGTTTATGGGTCAGGTATTGAAACAGCAGTTTGATTTTTTTACCCTGAAATTGGCTTCTGATGTGTAGGCTGCAGTATTATGTGCTTAATATAAAAAACAGGCAAAATGAACCTAACCTAACTTATTATTATCAAAATTAATTAAAAGTATATTCCAAGAGTGTCATATTATCTTAGATAGATTAAGCATGCATCCTGCTTATGTGGATGTAGCATACATCACTAGTGTGTATATTGCCATGCCTCTGTACACTGTATTGTCTTTCCTGAAAACTGTGAACTATGAAACGTTTTTAATGTGACCACAAATGGTGTAAATGATGCACATGCTGTATATAGTGTGACACACATATAAAGTGTGACGCATGTACAGTAGTGTGTAAGTAATACATGTATAGTGTGACATACATAAAAAGTGTGATGCACATATTGTGTAGGTGATGCACGTAATATAAGTGACACACATATATAGTGTAAGTGATGCATGTATATAGTGAAGTGTCACACGTACAGATTACGCATACAGTGGCGAGGACAACACCTTGATGTACCAACAACATGACACGCTAGAGTTCAGGTGTCACTTCGACCTGCACCTCTACCCCTTCGACACCCAGAAGTGCTACCTGGAGTTCAGCGTCCGGGACCTCAGACACACCCAGGGTGTCCTTCTCAAGGTAGCATCCATACATTCTAAGGGTCCTCAAAGTAGCCTCTATGCAACACACTGTCATTGATTCATATACCAATAATATTTGCTTGTTATTTCTTTGAGTTTATCTTCACTAAGATTGTACCAAGCAAATATACTTTGAGCCTGACTGGAATTGAATATACAATACATAACAAAGCAAACTCTATACAGAGGGTAAATCATTTTACGTTTTTTATGACTCCGTAATTTTGAATTTGAACTGTTTTTACTGAGAACCATGGGAATTGCAGGATGGGCTGGGGGTGGTGTTTGAGGGTGAGCGTAGCCTGCTGGAGTACAAGCTGGAGAAGGAGGTGATCACCTCATACACACTCAACGATGTCAGCGTCCTCCAGGTCAGTCATCACTACCACAACTCACTGGAACTTGAGTTTGTTTATGTGATATGTTTCATCATCCACAATATTTATTTATATTTTTAATTAAATTCTTAAAAAAACAAACAGATATGGCTTTGGCTAAGGGCTGTGAATACTGACACCGAGTTACGGTGTGCTGCAGGTATCACAGTGATACCTACATACAGAAGGTGTGTGGTGGTATGAAGGGTGGGAGATGAGTCGGTAAGTCAGATTGTGTGGAGATGGGTGCGTGGTTGATAGTTGTGAGGGGGATAATTGTAACTTGCACTGGCACAATGCTTAAAAGATCCAGATAGTATATATGAACATGAACGGTCACAGATTCAACGTCAACAGGTCAGTGTGGAGATTATCCCAGGTGGTGCTGGAACTGAAGAACCAGTACTCCTACTACATAGTTACTTAAAAGTGTGGTGTTTGTGTCCCAGGTGCAGCTGGAGTTGAAGAACCAGTACCGCTACTACATAGCCAACGCGTTCCTGCCTAGCCTCATGCTCGTCCTTATCTGTTGCCTCACACTTTGCTTCGACCTTGATGATTTCACGGTTAGTATTTTAACCTGAAGGCAACCAAAATCTTTACAATCTTGATGAAGGGGAATCAAATTTCCATATACTTTGACATGCAATAAATACCACATGTATACAGATGGCTTAGACATATGTAACCTCATTTCAGTCTACATACAAATGTACCTATTCCTTTGACATTTCTGTTTTTAGAATTACAAAGTACAGTATGTTGCTGGATGGGTAAGAGTAATATATGCCAAACTCGTTTCCTTTTACTCTCAAATGTTTATTTTTACTCCCAAATAAATCATTACAAAGAAGAAGGGTTAAACATGTAGCAAGAGGTGATGTGAGACAGTAAGAGAGCACCAGTGACATAAACAAGCCATGACACACACTTGCCATTTATCAAAACACAAAACCTTGTGTAACAAGCCAATGCATCTCTGTATGGTGGACTCGGTAGATGGCATGATTGTTATGGAATGCTTTGATCTCAGGCACTCTTTTTTATATTCTTGTCTTCTATGCTTTTTCTATGCCCTCTTTTAGGTTTGTTTTGTCTCCTCTACAAGCCAAACAAATCTCACATATGTAAATGTTGTTTCACATAATAGTTGGATAATCAGATTTTCAAGGACAAGACAAAAGCAATGGCAGCACCATTGTTTATCATGAAGGTGTATAGTTTACATGCAACACCTGATGTGTATCACCAGCAGCCACACCTCTCCCACAGGACCGCATCATGGTAACCCTCACCTCCATGCTGGTGCTTGCTGCCTTCTTTGCGCAAACCAGTCAGACCAACCCCAAGACCTCATACCTCAAGCTGATTGATGTGTGGTACCTGGTGTTGATCTGCGAGGTGTTTTGCATCATCGTCGGTCTCATCTACGTAGAGAACCTCCGCCTGAGCCCCCAGATTCGTCGAGTGACTCTTGTTTCCCACAAAAACTTAACTAAAGCAAAACTTGAGCCCTATATTACCACTGGAGCCAACCTTGGACACAGAGGGAAACTGATAATGGTGAACCGTTTTCTGCTGGTGATCTTCCTCTCTACCAACATCATCATCCTTGTCTGTTTCTTTGCTGTCGGCATGAAGGCCATCAGTGATTGAGAGGGTGCGCTTGTGTCTTGTTTGTGTTGATTGTTAATCCTGTATCTATTTGATTGTTAACATAACTCCATTCCTAATGAAATGGAAAGTAAAAGACAACAAACCTTTCATTAAATCTTATAAATTAAATTTTCATCTCCAGGCAAGTTTAGAAGTAAAAAAAATATACAGTATAAAGAATTCTTGTATTAAATTTGTTTATAGTAACTATATAAATTATCTATGTAAGCTGTACTCATGAGAAAACTGGGAATGGCATGAGCCTCTATTACCTAAGTCATTCAAATTAATGTTAATTTATTGTAATTTTTCAAAAGCTTTAAATGGTTTAAAGATCACCGAGTTTTATGTTGCTTTACCAGGCATCAAGCCCAATATAATTCTCAGTATTATCACATGAGTTTTACCTAAAGATATGTGAAGGAGAGAGTATTTCATGTGTCTGTGTATGTGCATTCATGTAATGCATTGACCTCCACAGAGAGACATCATCTTGCAAAAATAAAAACTAGGCAATTCAAATTCCAAAGCTTGCACATTCTCACAACTATTCCGCTGTTTGGCTCACAAGTATCACGTGACATCCAAACTTCCCGATTGGCTAAGTAATAAGTAAACAATGGATTTTGTCACAAACTTTTCTTATAAATAGGTGAAATTGAAAAGCCAAAATAGTAATTAAAAACTATAAATTTCCAATGGAAATGCTGAGGAGTAAAGTATTCTATTTTTTCTCTATCTCCCTATACTGTATTGTATAAGAATCAGTATAAAGTTCCATGCTTGGCTACTTTGAAATATTCACACATATGAATTTTTCAACACTGTCTCTATTCCTTTTCAAATAGAAATGTCACCTATTTATCAGTCACGGATTGATCATCAATCTTTACACTGGTTTCTTGGTGTATCCTGGTGGAGGGTTGGGAGGTGGTAAAGATCAACATGATGACCCAGGCAACTACAGTACAGTTCCAACAAAACATATCTTCACCCCATGGTGGTCAAGCTATGTGTGTGTGTGTGACATGATTAACAACAGCTGAACTGTACAAGAAGTGTTTTTCTTCAGGTAGTATAATAACAATACTTCACTAGTCTCTAATTTGTATCTCTTTAGTACCTAATAGTACTGTAACTCACCAGCATCTAACTCTTACCTCACCAGTAGTGCACTAATATCTGATTAAATAATTATAAGGTAATTTTACTCTACAGTTAACCGTTTGTACGAAGGTTTTATCTTTCTTTTGTGTGTTTTTCCCTCTGTCTTTATCTCCATCCACTTATTTTTCTGTCTACCTCTTTTTTCATTTATTTACCTACAGTATAGTGTTTATTTCTTATCTGTTTATGCACTCGTCTACGCTATCAATTCATCCATCTATCAATCAATAACTCAGCCATCTATCAATCTGTTTAATTATTTACGTTAGATGTTTATCTGTAAAACTAAGTACCGTACCTGTGCGTACTTATCTAGCCGTCTGTCTCTCAGTCTAGCAAATTGACTGTCTAGCTTTTTAATCTGATTATTTACAGTAGTTGTTTGTTTGTCTAATTGTCCTTCATCTTTCCTCCACTTCTGAGTAAAGGCTTGAGACTGGACACATTCACCAGCTGAAGTGTTTACACAGGAAATGCTGATGTTCAAGAATATTTCATCCCCTATGAGTGACCAACAAACATCCTCCACTTCTGTAAGGAACTCCTGGAAAATTTGGCACCACTTATGTGATCCTATATTGGAACTTACATTAGAAAATCATAGAATAATTTAATGTGTGGGATATATGAGCAAAAACTATGATAATTTAGGACAGGTAAAGTACCTTATTCTGTGATAAGGAGCCACAGCCACTACCACCCCAGTCCCTTACTGGCTCATTGTTTACCCTCTGTAGGTGTCTGTGTTTCACTTGTCAGTATTGTTTCTTTATGTGTAGGATGTTGTGATAATAATTACTATGATAGTTGAAACTTAGTAAATAAAAAAGAATAAGAATCAAGACTCATCTTTGTCCCAATATAAAGGGTGTTTCATAAATTTATTTCATAATTCAAGGAGTGTATCCCTAATACATATTTAAGGATAAATTACTCCATGACCATGCAGGACCATAGGAACACTGGCAATGTGATATATGTTTTTACCTTTGAGGGTCTTAGCTCTGCACTTTTAAAGATCTGTGGAAATTTAATCAACCAACACTTGACTAAATTGTTGTAAATTAGGTTCAGTAGTTTTGGTTGGGTTGGTATATTTTGTCTGTTTTCAAGAACTGCTTGATACCACAGCTATCATCAGGGAAAAGGCCTATGATGATGATGACTATCAATTATCAAATACTGTGATGTTTTGACTTCCAATTTCTTCACAGTATCAACTTCATGTGAATCACCAGACAACAGAGAGCAGCAGTGACCCTTGTACTGCTGTCACAATCACTGCTCAGCGTTCTGAAGAGAATGTGGTGCTGGGAGACCCAACAAGAACCTTCTTGCACGCTCCAGTAGGGTCTTCAGTGGTACTGGCCGTGAATTTAAATCGTAAGTATAGTATAGTACCTTCCTAAAACAAACTGTTCTTGCCAAAAAGAAATGAAATGTAACAAATGCAAATTGAGTACAGTACAATACATACTTAAGGATATATTCTGTCTGCTTTGGTAGAGTGTTATTTTATGGTATTCCCCTTCCTGGATATTAGATCATAAAAAATGTTTAGCTTATGTTTAATTATGTATACTGTATTTAATTCTGTATAAGAATCCTAGAGTTTAATTTTAAGTAACTTAAGCTATAATTTCACCACCTATCAGCGTGCAGTAATATCTCCATTAGCCAGAATCCCTCAAACCCGGAACACTCCAATAGCCGGAATTTAAGTTTTCTTGGAAAATCATTCCCAAAGCCAGAATTTTCCAGAAAATTATGGCTTTGGGAACAATTTTTTGAGGGGCACATTTTCTGGAAAATACCAAGAAAATTTTCCTGGTACCCGGAAAATTTCAGGGAAAGGGGAAGTTTTTCCGGGTTTCAGAGATAATGTAATGCACAATTTGTTGAACTCTCAAGAATATTTTTACATTACTGGGAAAATTTCAGGGATGGGGATTTTTTTTTCCCCAGCTTTGAGAGTCGTCTTGTTACACGGAAATCTCTCATTCCCGGAAGTGTTCTGCACCAATTGTTCAGGCTAATGAAGATATCACTTTACTAGTCATTCAGGCAGTTGGTCTGTTCTTTGTTGGTACTGTACTTTATGGCATTGTTCAGTGTTAGTACTGGAGAAAACCTGCCATGTTTGGTAGTGTCACACTGGATAACACCCTTCCCACATACTGTATGTCAGAGGTCAGGACTCAAACACAGGACACAGTGGGTGAGAGATATGTGTGTTATCACTGTAGGTAATTGAGTTTTGTTCAGTGGATGAAATAGTAGTCTAAAGCCTTTGATTGAAATGATTTAAACTTATAATTAAAATGACTTAATCTCAGGAGTAAAATGACTTAGCCCCTGAATTAAGACATTTATATACTGAAAGGAATAAATTATTATATTCAAGAGGATAAGTTAGCATACTCAAGGGCTTAAATCATCTTACTCAAGGGGTTAAATCATCATACTCAAGGGTTTAAATCATCATATTCAAGTGGGTTAATCATCATACTAAAGACGATAACTTAGCATACTCAAGGAGTTAAATCATCATACTCAAGATGTGAAGTTATCATACTCAGGGATTAAATCATTATAATGTCAAGGCTTTACTCTAGTGGTCAGCATCATACTGAAGGGTCATACTTGCATCAACACAAAATAAGTAAGCATAATAACATACTTAAGTACAGTATATTATGCGTTTTATTTCAGCTATGGACTGTAGTATCCCTGAAGAGGCTGAACGAGGGTCCCTTTTGTAGAGAAACGAGGGGTGAAAGAAGATTAGAGGTGGGGGAAGGAAGTTATAGTTCGGATATTGAAGAAGTTTAGGAGGAGGTAAGAGAGAGCAGGCTGACCGCCTAGCTAAGCTAATAGTGTTAGGGTTGTGTCATGGGTTAGTTATTGTCTGTCGGTACAGGCACTAGACATTCTACGAGGGTCCCTTATGCTGTTGGGTGGGAGGGTTGGGTGGGTGGATGGGAGGGAGGGCTGGGTGGGTTGGTGGGAGGGAGGGCTGGGTGGGATGCACTGTCGGGTGGGAGGAAGGGTGTATGGGTAGGAGGGAAGGTGTATTCATGGAAGTGAGTGTGTGTGTGTGGATGGGAAGTCCTCCTATCCACATACCCTTCCTCCCAACCACACACCCTTCCTCCCATCAACACACTCTTCCTCCCATCAACACACCCTTCCTACCGTCAACACACACTTCCTTCCATCCACACACCCTTCCTTCCATCCACACACACCCTTCCTTCCATCCACACACACCCTTCCTTCCATTCACACACACCCTACCTTCCATTCACACACCCTACCTTCCATTCACACACCCTTCTTCCTATGCACACACCCTTCCTCCCATCCACACACCCTTCCTCCCCATCCACACACCTTCCCTTCCATCCACACACCCTTCTTCCTATGCACACACCCTTCCTCCCCAGCATCCACACACCCTTCCCCATCCACACATTCTTCCTCCCCACCCACACACCCAACCTCCCACCCACACACACCCACCCACCCAGCCACACCCAACCACCCATCCACACAACACCCAACCACCCATCCACACACCCAACCACCCATCCACACCCAACCACCCATCCACACACCCAACCACCCATCCATACACCCCTCCCATCTACACACCCTTCCTCCTCATCCACCCCCCCGTCCATCCACACACCCCTTCCTTCCCCATCCACCCCCCCGTCCATCCACACACCATTCTCCCATCCACACACCTCTTCCTCCTCATCCACCCCCCCCGTCCATCCACACACCCTTCCTCTCATACACCCCCTGTCCATCCACACACCATTCCTCCCCATCCACACACCCCTTCCCCTCATCCACCCCCCCGTCCATCCACACCCTTCCTCATCCACCCTCCCCAGTCCATCCACACACCATTCCTCCCATCCACACACCCTTCCTTCCATCCACCCCCTGTCCATCCACACACCCTTCCATCCACTTCGTCCATCCACACACACTTCCTCCCATTCACACATTCTTCCTCCCATCCACACACCCTTCCTCCCATACATGTACCCACCCACCCAACCTCCCATCCACACACCATTCCTCCCATCCACACACCCTTCCTCTCATTCACACACCCTGAAGGTCTTTTTAAATCTTTCAGATTGTGTGGCTGTCTGAGGTGGATGGCTGGCTGGCTCAAGTATATGGTTGACTGGTTGAGGTGAACATCTGGCAGGACAAGAACCCCACCAAACAGGTAAAGTACTTGTGACAATATGTAATGTCTTTATGTAAGGTACTTATGAGTACTTATGAACATTGTCTAAAACTCTTTGTATTCCAGGTGTGTGGCTGACTGTGGACCCACAACAAGGTGCTGCCTGGAGGTGAGTGAGGGGAAGGGGGTGTGGGTGGGTGGGAGGGGAGGGGGGGGGGGGCGGAGGGGGAGGGTGGATGGGTGGGGAGGGGAGGGGAGGGTGGGGGTGGGAGGGGAGGGGGAGGGGTGGGGTGGGGAGGGAGGGGTAGGGGTGAGGTGGGTGGAGGGGGGGATGTGGGTGGGGTGGGTGGGGAGGGGTTGGGGATGTGGGGTGGGGAGGGGAGGTGGGGTGTGGGTGGAGGGGGATGTGGGGTGGGGTGGGGTGGGGGAGGGAGGGGGATGGGTGGGTGGGTGAGAGAGTTGGATGGGTAGGTGGGAGGGGAGTGGGTGGGTGAGAGAGTTGGGTGGGTAAGATGGAGGGTTAGGTGGGTGGGAGGAAGGGTGTATGGGTGGGAGGGAAGGTGTCTGCATGGAAGTGAGTGTGTGTGTGTGTGGATGGGAGGTCCTCCCATCCACACACCCTTCTTCCCATCCATACACCCTTCCTCTCATCCACACACACTTCCTCCCATCCTTGCACCCTACTTTCCATCCACACACCTAACCTCTGATCCACACACCCTACCTCCTGTCCACACACCCAACCTCCCATCCACACACTCTTCCTCCCATCCACACACCCTTCCTCTCATTCACACACTCTGAGGGTCTTTTTAAATCTTTCAGATTGTGTGGCTGTCATAGGTGGACGGCTGGCTGGCTGGCTCAGGTGAACGGCAGGCTGGCTCGCTTCGACGGCTGGCTGGCTCGGGTGGACGGCTGGGTGGCTCAGGTGGACGGCTGGGTGGCTCAGGTTGACGGCTGGCTGGCTCAAGTATATTGTTGACTGGTTGAATCGAACCTTTGGCAGGACATGAACCCCACCAAACAGGTAAAGTACTTGTGACAATATGTAATGTCTATATGTAAGGTACTTATGAGTACTTATGAACATTGTCTAAAACTTTTGTATTCCAGGTGTGTGGCTGACTGTGGACCCACAACGAGGTGCTGCCTGGAGGTGAGTGAGGGGAAGGGGGTGTGGGTGGGGTGGGGAGGGGAGGTGGGTGGGGCGGAGGGGAGGGGGGGGATGGGGTGGGGGAGGGGGTGGGTGAGAGGGGAGGTGGGGTGGGGCGGAGGGGAGGGGTGGGATGGAGGGGTGGGTGGGAGGGGAGGGGTGGGTGGGAGGGGAAGGGTGGGGTGGAGGGGAGGGGTGGGTGGGAAGGAGGGTTGGGGTGGGAAGGGTTGGGTGGGTGGGTGGGAGGGAGGGCAGGGTGGGTGGGTGAGAGAGTTGGATGGGCAGGTGGGAGGGGAGGGGGTGGGTGTGAGGGTTGGATGGGTGGGTGAGAGAGTTGGGTGGGTAAGATGGAGGGTTCGGTGGGTGGGAGGGAAGGTGTCTGCATGGAAGTGAGTGTGTGTGTGGATGGGAGGTCCTCCCATTCATACACCCTTCTTCCCATCCATACACCCTTACCTCCCAACCACACACCATCCTTCCAGCCACACACCTTCCTTTCACCCACACACCTTCCTCCCATCCACACACCCAACCTCCCATCCACACAACCTACCTCCCGTCCACGCACCCTTCCTCCCATCCACACACCCTCCTGTCCATCCACACACCCTTCCTCTCATTCACACACCCTGAGGGTCTTTTTAAATCTTTCAGATTGTGTGGCTGGCTCAGGTAAACGGCTGGTTGACTCAGGTGGACGGCTGGCTGGCTCAGTTAAATGGCTGGTTGACTCAGGTGGACGGCTGGCTGGCTCAAGTATATGGTTGACTGGTTGAGGCGAACCTCTGGCAGGACAAGAACCCCACCAAACAGGTAAAGTACTTGTGACAATATGTAATGTCTATATGTAAGGTACTTATGAGTACTTATGAACATTGTCTAAAACTTTTTGTATTCCAGGTGTGTGGCTGACTGTGGACCCACAACAAGGTGCTGAAGGTAGTACAGGTAAGACTTATTTGTGTAATAGTTGTAGTAGTAACAGCACCATAGTTAGAAGTAGATACACAGTAGTAACTCCGCCTTGTTCAACTGAACATGCCGGTCCCCAGCCCGGATAAAGGAGGAGGGCTACTGCAGGGAAACTGTCTTTAATTAATTGATACAGGATTTACAAAGTGGTGGGGAGGAGGGAGGACAGGTAGGTGGGGGCAGGTTGGTGGGTGTGATATTTGCTGGGTTTACACCGTTCAACACCCTTCTCACATGTCCCAGGCTGGAGTTTGGGCCCAGGACACAGTTGAGAGAGACTACCACCAACACCCACTAACTTTAGTAGGGGCAAGTAGATGGGAGTGGGGGGGGTAGGTGGGAGTGTGTGATATTTGCTAGGTTTACACAGTTCAACACCCTTCTCACATCTGTCCCAGGCTGGAGTTTGGGCCGAGGACAAGGTTGAAAGAGCTTACCACTGTACCACCAACACCCACTATACTTTAGTGGGGGGTAAGTAGGGTGGGAGTGAGGGCAGGTAGGTGGAGGTGAGGGGCAGGTAGGTGGGGAGTGAGGGCAGGTAGGTGGGAGTAGGGGCAAGTAGATGGGAGTGGGGGGGGTAGGTGGGAGTGTGTGATATTTGCTAGGTTTACACAGTTCAACACCCTTCTCACATCTGTCCCAGGCTGGAGTTTGGGCCGAGGACAAGGTTGAAAGAGCTTACCACTGTACCACCAACACCCACTATACTTTAGGTCAAATTCAAATTATTTCATTTCAAAACCTTACAATTTTAAACATTACAGCTGGATTTCAAGGTCTTCAACTTTACATCTTGTTGCCCAGTTAATTTATAATTTGATCTATAATTAACAAGGATTTCTTTTCTAAATTTTTAGGCAAAACTGACTTCCAACAATGGGTGTGGTGTCCAGATTGTCATCATTCAGTAAGTAAAATACCCACTGTACTTTATGTATGCACACAATCAAAAACTTATCTTTACGGACATGGCCTATGAATTTAAAAATAAAAACCGACACCTGTTGTCTCGGTGAGGTTGTCAAAATCCTTCGCCCGAGGTGTCGTTGTCTAACACCATCATAAAGATGCTTTTTTGAAATGTACATCTTGTAATAGCTACACTAAATTGAGATATTACAATGCCATCTGTAGGTACAGTCCTGTTATCTTTAGTTTTGATTATGCATACCTAATAGGTCATCACATGGGCATTAGTTTGTAACAGTTCTACTTTGGTTGGCACTTGAATGTCAATTAGTGAGAAGTATGCATGGGCTATCATGTTGACATCACATAGGTTCCATGTACAGTTCATGTTACCGTCATGTTTCAAGTTCAGTTTACAAGATTATTATTATTATTATTCTACTTTTCCAAAATTGGAGTATAAAAGAGGTCAAATTTATTCAGTGTTTATTTGATTATGTATAGATATTGTATAATGAGAGCCAACTCATCCTAATCTCAATACAAGTGCCAACCATTACATAATATATTCAACTTTTTCTTAATCTATGTGGCTTGACTCGAGGCTTACTTATACATTCTTAAATATATTACTTTACTGTACTTTAAAAATTTTCTCAATTGTAGAAAAAAGTTCATGCTTAAGGTGGTACTCTTGAAGGTGTGGGCTGGAAGACAGTACAGTTGTGGGAACACCCTGTGGTCATATGGCCGTCTTGGTTTCATTTCTTGTACACCAACCACCTGCAATAAGAATTTGAATTTAGATTAGTCTTAATTAACATTAATGTAGCTCTACCAATACACAACATTTACCCCAAAATTTCTTGCATTCTATAATTACATCCTTCCATTTATCCATACACTCTAGCACCCTCCTGTAACACCTTATACTGATCACCAGCCTTACTGCTCTTATGGCTGCAGCAGTCTTCTCACAGGCATCATCCCCCAACATTCCTTCATAGAATGTTATTTTACTCTGATACTTATAACATTCACTATTAACCATTGTATGAGCACACCACCACCCACGTACGAGCGCCCCTCCACTGCCCAACGTACGAGCGCCCCTCCAATGCCCAACGTACGAGCGCCCCTCCACTGCCCAACTTTCCTTCTTCCCAACCCTTATCACAAAGCAAGTCACTCATTATCATTCTTTGTTTTTTAGGATAGCCATACAAAGACTTCGGTAACTTAACTGGAGAGGCTGAATTAACATGCGTTACATCTTGCTCAAGGTTGGTTCTGTCACTTCCTCTAGGCTGGCCTTCAAGTACATCTGTCACCTGTAATATATTTTGAGTTGTTATTTATATAGAATGAAGGTTAAACATACAATATCCTTCTACCACCTGTACTTAAAGACTCCTACTGTACACAAGTTATCAAATTTTAATAATTTACAAAAGTCAATTTTATCTAACTTGAAAATTATCTTTCTGTATTCATGATCAGTAAAAGTAAGTGGCTCATAAAATAGTTAGAATTAACGTTTTAAATATATTAGATACAAAATATGTTTTTGTATAATAGATAGTTTAGTTCTGATTTGGTTCAGTCCAGGTTAGTTATGTTTAATCTAAGTTAAGATGGTTAGATTAGTCAAGTTAGTTGAAGCCCACCCACAACTTGCTTTACTTGCTATATGTACTACTATACTACTACTAATTTTCTCTGATAACCAATAGGCATATAGTCCTGTATATTTATACTGTCACTACAACTAATATTAAGTTTGCTCTAATAACAGTCACTACAGTCAGTCCACACAGGCCTCCCGAGCCCTCCATTGCACCCAGGCCTCCCGAGCCCTCCATTGCACCCAGTCCTCCAGAGCCCTCCATCACACACAGTCAGCCAGGCCCTGCACACACACACCTCCCCCTCCACTACTCCATGTAGGAGCACAGTGTGGAGTGGTTTTTTGGATGACCATACTAGCTAAGATATACAAGTAACTTAACTGATGAGGCTGAAGTAAAGTGCAGCTTGTTAAATCTTGCTCAAGGTTCTGTCACTTCTCCATTGGCCTTCAAGTACATCAGCTGTCACCTGCAACATGTTTAAAGTTGTAATTAAAGTAGAATAGACATTAAACATACAATTTCCATGTACAATTAGGCCATGTACAGTACATAAGCTGTCCTTAACTGTACACAAATTATAAATCTTTAATAACTTACACAATTCTCAATTTTATCTAAATTCAAAATTAACTTTCACTTCATGATCAGTTAACGTAAGTGGGTAATAAAATAGTTTAAATTGAAGTTCTTAAAACATTTTTTATCTAATATATTTACTGTATAATAGTTATCTTATTACCGATTTGGTTCAGTCAAGGTAACATTTAATCTAAGTTAGGCTGGTTAAGTTATGTTAGTAAAGTTAGTTGAATAAAAAAAAAACTTACTTTTCTTGCTATATTAACTACTATACTACAACTAATTTTCTCTAGTAACGAATAGGCATGTAGCCCTGTATATTTATACTGTACTGTACTGTCAATACAACTAATACTAAGTTTACTCTAATATCAATCTGTCTACAGTCAGTCCTCTCAGTCCGCCACAGCCCTCCAACGCACCCCGTCAGCCAAGCCCCACACACCCTCCACTGCCTAGTGTAGGAGCACAGTGTTGAATGGTTAATGCCTGGGATGACCATACTAGCCAAGATATTTAAGTAACTTAACTGATGAGGTTGAAGTAACATGCTGCTTGTTAAATCTTGCTCAAGGTTCTGTCACTTCTCCATTGGCCTTCACTTACATCAGCTGTCACCTGCAACATGTTTAAAGCTGTAATTTATGTAGAATGAAGGTTAAACATACAATATGCATCTACCACCGGACCACATGTACTTAAACTGTGTCCAACCCTACACAAGTTATCACTTTCTTAATTTATACAAGTCTCAATTTTATCTAACTTCAAAATTAACTTTATGAATTCATGATCAGTTCACATAAGTGACTAATAAAATACACTGAATTTATGTTTTGTTAGGTTAGTAAAGTTAGTTGAAACCCACCCACAACAACTTGCTTTAATAGCTATGTTAACTACTCTACTATTACTAATTTTCTCTAGTATGAATGTAGTCCTGTATATTTATACTGCCAATACAACTAATATTTTACTCTAATATCAGTGTCTACAGTCAGTCCCCACAGCCCCCCTACAGTGTCTGCCAGGCCCCATACACAGGACACCAGTTTCCACACACGTATCACTAGGTCCACACAGAGACCTATCAGGCCCCAAACAGTCAGACACACACACTTCACTGCCCAGTGTAGGAGCAGTGTTGAGTGGTTTATTGGATGACCATACTAGCCAAGATATACTGTTCAAGTAACTTAACTGATGAGGCTGAAGTAACATGCTGCTTGTTAAATCTTGCTCAAGGTTCTGACACTTCTCCATTGGCCTTCACGTACGTCAGCTGTCACCTGCAACATGTTTAAAGCTGTAATTTATGTAGAATGAAGGTTAAACAACAATATACATCTACCACTAGAACACATGTACTTAAACTGTGTCCAACCCTACACAAGTTATCACTTTATAATAATTTACACGTCAAGTTTATCTAACTTCAAAATTAACTTTCTGAATTCATGATCAGTTATCTTAAGTGACTAATAAAATTCACCTAATTTATGTTTTGGAATAGCTTATGATAGGTTAGGTTAGGTTAGGTTCGGTTATGGTTAGTAAAGTTAGTTGAAACCCACCCACAACAACTTGCTTTAATTGCTATGTTAACTACTCTACTATTACTAATTTTCTCTAGTATGAATGTAGTCCTGTATATTTATACTGCCAATACAACTAATATTTTACTCTAATATCAGTGTCTACAGTCAGTCCCCACAGCCCCCCAACAGTGTCTACCAGGCCCCATACACAGGACACCAGTTTCCACACACACACACACACTGATCACTTGGTCCACACACAGACCTATCAGGCCCCAAACAGTCAAACACACACACACACACACTTTTCACTGCCCAGTGTTGGAGCAGTGTTGAGTGGTTTATTGGATGACCATACTAGCCAAGATATACTGTTCAAGTAACTTAACTGATGAGGCTGAAGTAACATGCTGCTTGTTAAATCTTGCTCAAGGTTCTGTCACTTCTCCATTGGCCTTCACGTACATCAGCTGTCACCTGCAACATGTTTAAAGTTGTAATTTATGTAATGAAAATTAAACTTGCAACTTCCATCTACCACTAGACCACATGTACTTAACTGTCCCCCAACTGTTTACATAAATCATTACCTCAACATTAGTTTACTCAAATTACTTCCCACCAACACAGTACTGCTACACTATACTGTACTGTACTGTACTACACATCTCCGCACTGCTTCATGTACTATACACAAGGTTTACTACAGCTCACTTAGTAGACCTTCCCTCCCTCATGCCCCCTTAGGTGTCCCCCTCGACAGCTTGGTTACACTTGGTTTGAATGACAAACTTCACCACAACTACCTGCCCACCTCGTGTACAATTCCTTCCTATGGGAACACAAACCTATCCCATACACCACCACAGTTCCCCCATCATCCAGTATACAACACCCTACACCGTCTTCGCAAACGTTAAATGACCCTACAACAAGCCACACCCACCTACACTCCAAACAAAGTTATAATGAACCACACCCACCCACACCCCTCACAAAACATTAAACACACCTCATTAGGAAGCCACACCCTCACAAAAACACTAAAACGACAATCTACAGGAAGCCACACCCCTACAAAACACATTAAACGACACCCAGGAAGCCACACCCTCACAAAACATTAAACGACATCTACAGGAAGGCTTACACCCCACCCACCCACACCCTCGCAAAAACATTAAACGACACCACAGGAAGCCACACCCACCCACACCCCCTCACAAAACATTAAACGACACCACAGGAAG